AAACAATTAATCCAGAAAATCAATATTTTAGGTACTTATTGTAATAGTCTAGAAAATGTTGTAACTGTTGTTAGAAAGTCTCAAAGGTTAATTCAAATAAAAGAAATAATCGATTACCCACGTAGATCAGTATATACCAATGAAACAGAAGTAGCAAGAAGGATAATATCATACGATGGAATAGAGAAAGAACGAGGCAAGTTGTGTGATATCCGTTTGATATCACATGATCATGTAGATAATGATATTATAGATGCTATTCAAAACCGTAAAGAAATTGCTCTCATTAAAGACGAAAATCAATTTACTGTTCTTTATCAGGAAAAAGAAAAAGGTAGCTTAGGTTCATGGAAGATAGAAAATCACGAGCTAAGTAATTATCTTTCATCTTTGAATTATAATCGAACAATCCTTGATAGAAACGAATGTTCAAAAATATACGTTACCATTTATGAACACGTTACAATAAATAGTGGCTACATTCGGAGTAATTTTTCCGTATTTCTCAAAAATTTAACGAACAATAGCAAATATGAAATAACATTTAATGATCTGACTGTCCGACAAGACAGTGGAACTGTCGATGAAGCGGAAAATATTATCTATCAGGCAGTATCCGGGCACGTACCATTTGGAGCACCAATCTTAAACGGTAAAGATAAATATATTAGTGTTAGTATAACACAAATTAACGCAGAAAGATTGAAAGCTTTTCTAAATCCTAACATTGAAATTAAAGAAGCTACACTAGATCTAGCACTCGTACAATTGGAAGGGAAAAGTTCTTTTTTCCATCGGCACTTATTACCAGAAAATTGGTCTCTTGATTTATGTCCTGTTAATTTAGAAATTTTTTTGGACAATAATAAAATAGAGATGAAGTCAAATCTGCAAGCAAGAGATGCAATAGAAATTCTTAAAAAAAGACAACCAGACGAGAACATACAATGTAATTTGACTTTCATATCTGCGAATGAAATATCAAAAGTTCTTAAAGAAAACGTATTATCTAACTCAATTCAAACTATTGAATTTATTGGACTGGATGGATATAATGTTAAAGAAAAATTAAAAACTATACAGTCTAATAGTATTACACTCGAAATATCAGATAGTAAAGAAAAATTAGTAGAGATTCTTACTTGTTTAGATCTACAATATGTCGAATTGTATTCCTATGACAAAGAAAAGTCGAATCACCGAAGCATAAGAGAAGTCGTTGATACGGTTACAGCAGAGAGAAAAATAAAAAACTACGAAAAAGATAACACAACTATTAGATTAATTGATATACTCATACATGATATTGAAGAAATAATTGGAAAATGCCCGAATACAACATATAATATTAGTTTTGTTCGTATAAGAAATTTCGATGAACTTTTGAAAGGATTAAATAACGAGCTAGTCAATATTCACTTTGATGAATTAGAATTAGAACCAGCCATACAACTTATTCGACAAATTAGGAAAGAAAATCTCGATTTTAGTTTGACATGTAAAAAATTAACAAAAGGTCAGGCAGAAAGACTTATGAAAGAAGCTCCAGTAGAACAAGAAAATATAGAAATTAACAAAGTAAAATCTTTAAATGAACTATTCATGAATGAATCAAGACCTCATTTAGAATTATCAGAGTTTTCTGGAAGAGGAATCGAGTATTTACTTGAAATTAGTGAAAAGAGATTTATTCCATGGAGAAGTATTGCTACTGTAGTTACTATTGCTGCTGTTCAAATGACAGTGGGTGGAATTCTTATAGCAACTGGATTTGGTGCCACGGTAGGATTGGGTCTAATCACTGAAGGAGGAGCAGATTTGTTCACTGCCTACCGAGCTTATAGTACGAGACAATTCAGTTGGTCAGATTATGGAAAGCAAAAAGCAGTAAGTCTTATTATTTCAGCAGTTTCAATGGGATTCTCAGCAATCAAAGATACAGGTAAAGGGATTCAGAATTTAGTGACAGGTGTAGGAGAAGAAGTACTTGAACAAGCTGGTACAAAAATAATAACAGATGGTAAAGCCGTAAGCCAAGTGTTAGTTACGACTGGAAAAAATTTAAAAAGTCTAGCTATTAAACAAATTGGAGTAACAATTGGTGAAAATGCATTAAGGGAAGGTTTAACTACAGTTGCAGATTTTAGCTCACATTTTGTATTAGAACAATTGAAACCGCAAGTTTCAGCTATGATACAAAGTAAAGTTAGTGATCAATTTTCTAATAAACCTAAATTACTAAACATAATCCGTAAAATGTATGCTATTGAGTCATTTGATAAACAACAAAAATTTAAAGACAAAATAAATAAATGCATAGCTGAAATCATTAATCCTGAACATAATTTTTGGCGTAAACAGTGGGATTCTATTGGTGGTCCATTGTGCAAAGGTCTTCTATCAAGTTCACAACATGTAGGTGGCCCATTTAGCATGGGTATGAGAATAGTTGGTACCCTACATGGAATGTATCAAATTACTTTTATTATTGACAAAGTTCATGATCAACTTCTAGAGAAACTTTCGCAAATTGATCAAGACACTTTATCAATAGATCAGATTTTACGTCGCTATTGTGGAGTCACAAAAGAAGATACTTACGGAATTGTAAATCTTCTTGAAAAACAAGGAATATTAGATACAAATAAAGAATTCAACATTGAAAATTTAATTCCTACAGATTTGAGTATATCGGATATGTATCGAGACGAAGTTGTAAACTTTTTAAAGTCATTAGATAGTGTAGAATTCAATGATTTGAGTGAACTAATGAAATCAATATCAGATCTGATTACAGAGCAAGTATTTAGAATTACAGAGTCCCAACTTATTTCACCATGGAGTAGTTATGGTATGGGTGAACTGACCAAAGCTATTTCAGAAAGAGTACAGCATCATTTTATTGTTGATGAAAAACAAAATGCTGATAGTCAAAATCGAGAAGATCGAGAAAAAGGTGAGAGTAAATATAACACTATTACAAAGCAAATAAAATACAATGCTAAAGATTACACGATTGCATATAGTCAATGTGAAATCATTCATTATTCTCAACAACAACAACGAGATAGATCTAATCCTGGAGTAATCGATAATAAAACAAAAGAATATATTGATGGAGTAAGAAACGATAAACCAGCAAATCTTTCTGATATGATGGCAATTGCTGCTCAGAATGATGTAGATATAAAAATAGTCGATGATGTCAATTATCAACCTACAGATGAGGATCAAGCAAGAGGTACAAACATTATCGTGTACTCGAAAGGAGAAAAAGATGATCAAGGAAATTTTAGTGTGGGGCACTTTCAACTTATGACGGGAGATGGTACTTTAGTTGATATTCCAAGCGAAAAAAATAATTGCGGTTATAGTGTTATTCAGAAAATATTAAATGATCGAAGTATCGATAAATCTATCGATGATCTTCGTAACGATAGAGCTCAGAGAATCGAAGATAATCCTAAAGAATTTTCTAAAATATTAGAAGTGGAACAATGGGTTTCATCTCGTTATCCGCAGGAGGCAAATTCTTTTTTAATCGTAGGAGGGGTCGAACAGAAGAAATCTCCTGAAGAGATTAAAAAAATTGTTCAAAAAGGATTAATAGGCCCTTATGGCTTATTATGTGATGAATTACCAGGACGACAAGGAATTGCTGAAATTAATCACATCCCTCCAAAATCTGCATATAAGGGCACACCCTACGAAAAAATAAATATTAATCATATGCCAGCAATAGCCATGTTTAAAAAGGATCATAAACAAACTAGTTCGTGGGGATATTACAAAAAGGGTTTATATCAGAAAGAAATTCAAAATCTTATGAAAATTGGAAACATGGCTGAGGCTATCTACATTGAAATGAAAGATATATCAACAATTAATGCTACAGGAATGAATTATCAACGCCACGTTCCAAAATACATTGATTATCTAGCATCTACACCTGTAAAAAATGCACCATTGAATAGCGTTGGTACAAGAACTCTAATAACGCCGAACGAAGCATCGAAATTGAAGCAAAGGCTGAGACTGAGATGATATCGTTCATATTGAAATATATCAATAAGTTTGAAGGTGTGGATGAACAATGACACTCTCAAGATATGAATGTCTCTCCTCTATACTTCGATTATCCTATTTATCCCAATCATATCGACTTGGTTCTTTCGTTCTTATATTTATATTTCTTTTGTTGCATCATTATTTTTACTAAATTTCATTTTTTTAGGACATGTAAATTAATTTTTTAGTGCTTCTTGATAAATTCTTCTCAACCACTTTTAACTCCTTTATTTAACTAATCTTTTGTTTATTATTGGTTTTGATTTGATCATCTATTTAATGCATGTTCCTTCATAGCTGAATATTTTCTCATTCTGCTCCATCTTTATATAGTTTTTCAATGGAGTATCAAAATCACCATACTTTGAAGCCAACTTCTAGCTACCATTATTTTTCATTTTCTTAATGATCAAATGTCTTATTGCCATCTTTAATCTTTTTTTTTCGAACATTAAACTATTGTTCTATTACTGTGAAAGCTTGTAGAATTTCTAGTTCTCCCTCATTAGCGTATGTTTGCTTTTTGATGTATTTTTTTACCTAAACACGTTTTCTTTGTATCACTTTAAATTATTAATCACGAATTTTGTTGTCCTCGATCATTTTCGTTTCATATTTATTTTACTTCTTTTTTTATGTGATAAGAGACTATCCATATTTTTCTTTTATTGGAATTACTATTCTTTAAATATGTTGTCTTCTGGAGAAATTGTCATATGTTTGAAAGTCGTCGACTATATTCTGTATAAAAAAATTAGAACTGAAGCAATGTTAATAATGGCCAATGATTATCAAAGTCCACGTATTTACGAACGATTACATCCGGTACTTGTTAGCACATGACGATTACCATTTTAAAACGGGTCACTTATTCATCACTCGTTTTGTACACAACATGAATCTAGCAATCTGTGACGACGGACAATCATGTCATGGAATTAGCTTATTCACATGTACGAAGATGTACTGAGATCGGTGCTCTGGTATTGAATCACGCCTTGATGAATTTGTTCATCAGTGAAGACTTCGTCAGTATTCGTTGTCTCGTAACAATATAGTTATAATATTACGCACTTGATTAGTTCAATCAATGTAGAAACAATCGAGTTAGAATGTAGCATATAGAAATCACTAGAGTGGTATCATTAAAGAGCATCTAAACAATTTCAATTCTTTTGTCTCAGACATGAACGGTGATAACAATGTTTCGAGTCAAGTTTTTTTGAAGTTGCTGAGTGGTAATGAAATATTTCTTTGCATCACATTGATTCTGCAAACTAAATAATCAATGATACACTCACAAGGATGATTAGTGATGGCTTTCAAAATTATTAACTAGAAGCATCGAACCAGATGGTAATGAATTGACAAATAAAGAATCAAATAAAATTTAATTGAAATAACTACAAAAGAAGTCAATGATTTCAATGAGTACATTGTCATTGCACAGTTCGTTCGAACATGAATAAATGTTTGTGTTTAGCAACAACGTGTGGGTGGGAGTTAGTATATGGATATGAATCGAAACATAGGAAAGTTTTTGTTCTTGAGAAAAAGTGGAAGAAACCAAAAAGATAAAATCGAGCTACATAATCACTGTCATCAACAATCCGAATCATTGTCAGTCCGTTAACCAAGGAATAGGATATCCAAGTTTCTTATGAGTCAAGCTACAGTGGGTTTCAATAGTATGTGGTGATTGTCCCCAAGATAAGCTCACATTACATCCTATCATCATGCTTGATGCTAAAGTAAAAAAAAACATTCCTTCGCAAATTTACTCGTGTGATCAAGTATCTTGAATATAACATCAAAATATATATGTTACGTCTAATGTGATAGATGTCGCATAGATACCATTTTGTTTTGTGATCATACTCAATTATAGATAATTAAATGAATCTCGCTGCAAACGTGCAAGTTTTTATTTCTAAATAAATAATCATTTTCAACGTCTCGTTCAAACATCAAAGGTTCATTGACTAAAACAACCTATCAAAACTTCATTCTTTTTCAAAATATGTTCTTTGTATTTTCTGTTGTATACGAAATCCCAAATCCGAAAAAAAACGTTTTCATTTCAGATTCATTTCTACCTTAGTTATTCCCTAAAACTTCCAATGTTTGCGGCATTTCGACGTCGTGCCGCATCAGCATCACGTTCTGAACCAAATGTTAAAGAAAATTCTCCTATTGAAAATAGTCATTCTAATGGTTTTATCACACCAACAGTAACAGCCAACGGTACTAACACATTAAGTGTTAATAGTAATGGAATGAAACATCGTACTCTATCTGGTCTTTCAACAACATCAGCATCTTCATCGTTCAGTACATCACCAACACTGAATATAACTCGTCAACAAGAAAAACACGAATTACAAACACTGAATGATCGTCTAGCAGTTATTATTGATACAGTTCGACGACTTGAACAAGATAATGAAAAACTAAAAGTATGTTTTGAATTCGTTCCAGAAGAAAAACAAAAATTCATATTTGATTTCTTTTCTAGAATATCGTTAAAACGAATGCACAATCATTTGAATTGGAAACATCAAAAGTGAAAAGTTTATATGAAAATGAATTAGGTGGATTTAATGTGACAATGAAAATATTCCACTAACTATTATTTTTCATTTCAGATGACGCAAAAAAATTAATTGAAGAATTAGCTCATGAAAAATCACGTCTTGAAATTGAACTCGAAAAAAGTCGTAGCGAAAATTTAGATATACACGCAAAGTAAAACATTTTAAATCAATTAAAGATTTTCTTCATATACATTTTCATAGAACTGCTCGTATCGAGCGTGACGCACGTGCCTACGAATCACGTTTAAAACAATCGGAAAATGAAATAACCGAATTAAAAGCACGTTATGATGCAATTACATTAGATTCATCGCGTAAAATTGATGAGAATGAGGTTTAATAATTTTGTTAAGTTTCGTCTAATGTAAAATATCAAATTTTAGACGCTTCACAATTTCAATCACGACCTTGAAAAACAAGTATCAGCATTGAAACGTCAACTGGAATCTGAAACATTATTACGTGTTGATCTCGAAAATAAAAATAAAACTCTACGTGAAGAATTACAATTCAATCAACATGTGTATGAAACAGTAAGGGAACTATTCCGTATAAAATCTATCGAATTTCAAGCATATTTTCTTTTAGAAAATCTATCAAATAAAAGAACAACAACGAATTGAAAGTCTTCATGATGATGGTTTACGTCAACAATATGATGCACGTCTTCTACAAGAATTACAACAAATCAGAGCACAAAACGAACAGGAAATGCAATCGCTAAAAGAAGAAATAGCTTCACAATACGAAAAAAAGGTAAAATGAGTATTCTAATTAATCGCACATGCTTGTCCGAATTCAGAAGGTAAAACGACCACTGAATAGACGTAATCTCTCCAACGAATAGAAGGCGCCTCGTTTTTTCATATGAAATATCTATTTAGATTGAAGATCTACAAAATACAAATCGTCGAAATCTCGAACAGATCAGTAATTACCGTACTGATCTTGTTCTATATCGTGAACGTATTGAAGAATCGACAAAAATTCGTGATACATGTAATGAGAAAATGTTGCAATTAGAACAACGTTGTCGTGAATTAGAAGATCGCGCCTATCGTTCGCAACAACAACAACATCAATCGATTATCGAACGTGATGATGACATACAAAATCTCAAACAAATCATTGATCAAATGCAAAGCGATTATCAAAATTTAGTTGATACGAAAATTGGTCTTGATCGGGAAATTTCGACATATAGAAAATTACTCGATTCCGAAGAAGAACGATTGAATATTGCTGGACGATTAGGACCGTCGCCGACAAGCAACGGTAGTGCAACACCCACAAATAATGACGAAATCACAACAACGAACAATGGCCCAACGCAACGATCGCGCCTTAAACGTCCACGTTTCGAAGTTGATGAAGATATCATTTTTCCGAATGGCACGAGCAATGGACATTAGGAGATAGAAAATTTTCAATATTACAACCCGGTGCTTAATCTTTTCTTTTTATGTTTCGAACGAAAGCGAAATAGTACAGATATAGGACGACGAGGAGAAGAAGACGAAGATACCTTCTACTCTTGTTAAATTTATTTTTATGTACGTCCGACGAGGTTTTTTTTCTTATGTTAAAAACAAATAGATATTTTATTTAATGCACAAACTGTTTTTTTCCATATTCGCCCTATTAATAAATAAATCATACGACGGAAAGTTCTGATTAGAAATTCTTCTTTATTTCGAATTCCCCAATGAAAACATTCTCTAGAATTTCCCTTAGCGTACATTTATTTTCAAAGAGAACTTTGCCCGTTTGACTAATAAATGTAATATGATGTTAAGAAGTCGTTGAACTGTGACTTCGTCTGGGTGAACAGCTGATCTATTCATAGAAAAAAATCAACAGTAAACTGTCTGCTATTATGTAATCACTACCACGCCACGATCGATGAATTCTGTTTACACTGAAAAAAAAAGTATTGACGCATATTTTGTGATTACGAATGAATTAGATGATAAAACCAATCGCAATTTCCACCAAGCATTGAATGTCTCGAGTAAATCTATCTGCGAATTTCATCCAAGCCCGGTGAAATTGTCGATTGAGAACAAAAAAAAACAGCCACGTAACGCACTAATCGAATGAATGAAAACAATATGCATTTCCACATTCTCATACGTATATTCTATATTTGGCAACTAGCCAGCTTGCTCGTGTTTCTCCTATGGGCCAAAGTAAAAACTGTCCATTCTCTTCATTATTTTGCGGACACTGATATAGTCCGACCATTTTTTCTCTTCTCTCTCTCTCTCGCTTTCTCCTATGGAGTGTCTATAGCTAGAAACAAAAGAATTCATTCCTGGTTCGGTAGGAGAACAGAACGATAAACTCGTGTTTAGTTTTGATATAACAATTCAAACGAAGAAGAAAAAGAAAATGATCCTCCGTTTTTGCTTCTCTCTTCGTTCTTTTTTTTTGTTGTTGTTGATTACATCTGTCCAACAATTGTTCTATATATTACTAGACACTAAATTGACCGATAGGAACACACTATACATACTAACAGTAGGACATAGCTATATGATGAGAGAATAAATCAAGATTGATTCTATGCAATGATAATAGATTAGGTGATTTTATTAATAAGAAATCTATTCTCTATTTCATCAATAATTCAGTAGAAATATGACCGACTAAAGAGAGGGAGTAGAAATTTCTTCTCCTTCGTTTATTTTTATTGCTAAGTGTAACAATATGTTTTGTTGTAAATGTCAAGTGCTACTTGTGCATAACTAGAAAAGATCACATTGAAGTGGTGTATCATGCAACAAGAAATATACTTTTCTGTTCATCCACATGACTTTTAGAGACAGATTTCATCTTGTTTACTTATCTTTTTTTTTTGAAATCATAAACATAAGAAAGAACTTTTAACACAAAAATCATCGCTCGATCTTGTAGTTCGAAAAAAGCACCGTTAATAATACGAGAGAGACACAAAAAGAAACACATGTTTATTTATCACATATCGAAAAATTATTTCGACTATTGTTTAGGATTATGCTTTGATAGTGGTTGCGAAAACATTAAACCCGGTGCAAGTATTTGTTGAGCAGGTGTTGCCAACGTTTGTGATTGAAAAGCATATTGATCTTTCGAATCATCAGTATTACTCCATACTGAATCAGGACGTGATCTAATTGGAAAAAAACTTTACGAATCTGTGTCTGTTCCATGATCTTACTCATAATCAAATGATTGCTGTTGAAAAAGATCTTTTGAATCGCATGAAGAGGGTAAACGTGGCCAAGCATCTGAATCGCCAATAAACGGTTCTAAACCGATTGAGATTAATTTGAAAATATGAAAATACAAGAAAACAAAATACGTACCAGTTAGAGGAGGAGGAGGTGCTGGTGGTGGTGGTGGAAATGAACTTGTTTCATTCGATGTATTCTTTTGATTAAGAGAACGAGTAGTTGATGCAGATTCACATGCTAAAGAAAGAAATATGTTGAAATAGTTCGCATGTTTTCAAGACTAACCGGCCAGAGCTGGTTCGAGAAATTGTCTCAATGCAACATTTCTAGCGCCACGCGGTGTTTTAACATTAGCACCACTTGGATTGTAGGGTTTTTGTTCGTCGGTAGTTGGTTTCTATTGATAGAAAAATCATTATTTAATTGAATATTAAGCATTTCGAGATTTACCTGTGTAATACGTCGATCCCCCGGTACACCAAAATTTGACGAAGGAATTTGCTGTATCAACGGTGATGAAGATTCGAAACAAACAATTTCATCTTTAGCATAAGTTATTAGATGATCGAAAATTTTCTTCTTTGTTTTATCATCGTTTTTTTGACAAAGGTTTCGTACGATTGAAACCAAACGTAACTTGCGCAGTTGTCTAACATCTTTTTCGCTCACATGTTCATTTATTGTTTCGTCATCGTCCTCACCATATTTTTTAAAACTATATGATTTTATGATATCATTTAATGGCGTATAACATTCTAACGCACGTTCTTCAACGAGAGGATAATCACTATATTTAAAAAATAACGATCCACTCGTTTCATTCTTTCCTTAAAAAAAAATATAGATATAAATTCGATCTTGAAATTTATCTCTACCTTTAGAAACATCAAGACTTGATGCGTAAACTCCAAATGATCGTAACAGTTTTGCTAATGAATGCCACATTGATGGTTTTTGTTTGAAAACATGATGTTCGAATAGTTCCGTTTTGAATTTTTGTATATTCGATAGATAAGCAAACGAAAGATAGAGTATAGGTAAAATATGTTGTTCATCGATGATCATCATTGATAATGGTAATTGCATTGCTTCGAGGCATTGTTCAATAATCATAATAAATAGCTGTAGAGTAATATCGAATTGTAATTCAGGTTTTTTCGATGATGATGATCGCGGCAGTAAATCTAATGTACGATGTAACGTAAACATAATGATAGTTATCATTTGAATGAAATTTAATTGATTGAAATTTTTTATTATTATCGTCCGAAATAAATTAATAAACGATTGAATATCATCAAGATTAGCTTCCAAATTTATCATCGCTATTATTTGTAAAAATAATGTTAAAAAATCATTTTGTTGTTGTTCATAGCGTGTTATCGGTATGTCTTTTAGGCGTTGAAATAGCTTCTCTAAATTTGATATTGCTAATGGAAATGTAACTTTTATTGCGATACTACGAATGTAATAATAGGCTGTGATCAATTGATTTTGTCCTGGCGTTAACAACGACGAAGGATTTTTCATTTCATGTAATATAGCTATTTGATTATAGGGTTGACCTAAACAGGGAATTGTATGTATAGCATATTGATAGAATGTTTTAGCTAGATCAATATGATTTGAATAGCGATTTAAGTCACCGACATGAACGAGAATATGTTGAATAAAATATAGCATTGAAGCTTCTTTACAGGAACGATTCTGAGTTGAATACTGATTTCGTTTTTGTAACAATGGAAAAGTTAATTTACAAATAGAATTTTCAAAATTATACGAATGAACAACATCCTAGAAAAAAATACAAAAGGATCATTTCATCGTTCAAAACAAGAACAGATTGAAACACCTACTTGTAATAATTTCATATAATAACCGCTTGCATATTCGTAGAAATTCTGTAAACTAGTCTGAATTTCTGCTCGTTTCATTGGATTTTGACTATTCTCTTTTAATTGTTCTTGTTTATAGCTGATTTCGTTTTTGAAAATAATTGTCCATAGATCATGTTCGATTTTTTTTTCGATTGCATAATCAAGATCGCACAGAATTAATTGTTCATATTGATCAAGTAGTTCTTGTCGATATGTCCATATTTCTATTTTACCATTTGGTGATGAGAGAATTTTTTGTTTTAATTTTTCACATTGATCAAAAATTTCTTGGGATGCTGATACAGGATTTTCTGCGTCAGCTATTGTAGTTACTGGTTTTGTTCGACGATTACTACTGGATAAAGAATTATTTATATAAATAAAGAAGACCTGTCAAAATAACTTACGGATGACATCGTCTTCGGTTCATAGGATTTGCCATTAATAAAGGCAAACTATTGTGATTATATCATGGTTTCGAAATTAACTAGAAATGAATCATTTCAACAATAGATTAATACGTGTCGTTGAAAATCCATGATTAAATACTAAAATAAACTTTTCAAGTGGGGTTACTGCATGTTAGAATGAAAAGATGTCTGTTATAAATGTAAGTTAAAATATCAATTTTCATTAGAATAGGACTCGTAAGTGAAACCAATTCTTTTTACTCTCCTCATAGCAAAAAACGTGTGTGTAATATTATCGTAAACGTAAAGAAATCCAATTAATATATAATAATAGGGAAAAAAACAAGGTTCTTTGAAGTATTTTATATTCTTAGAATTGAAAAAAACTCAATCTGTATGTGTCATTATTTTAACCAATAAAATAGAATTACAACTGATAAGATTTTAAACAAATTTTGTAATTATTTTCAATGAATTCTACGAAAATTGACTTGCTCTTTCTGTGTGATATAGATGTCACTGTGTGTCTTGTTATTACGCTATTCCTCTACGACGATGTCCATTTACAATAGAGAGAAAGCAAAAAAATAACGTATACAAGATCATTTCCTAAGAGCTTGTTTTGCAAATTGTACTCGTTATATCTCGGTGTTTTTACTCAAGAAAACAATCTCTCTTGACTAAAATCGTGCGAATGGACTCTACAAAAGCTGAAGCTGAAAATATCGAACCATCGGCTGGCAAAGAATTGCTTGATAAATATTGGACGCAAGTGAAACATGAAATCGATGATATTAATATTGTGCGTTGACACAATATATTTTTTTGTTTTCACTTATTAATGACTCATTTTGTGTTTAGGTTGAATTTCGTACGACTGATTTACCGTTAGCTCGTATTAAAAAAATCATGAAATTAGACGATGATGTTAAAATGATCAGTGCCGAAGTACCAATTCTGTTTGCTAAAGCAGCAGAATTATTTATTCAAGAATTAACAATTCATTCATGGTTACAAACAGAAGAAAGTCGACGACGTACATTACAGGTTTTGTTTCTACGATTGATGCCTTCTTAAATTTCATTTTTATATTCAATTTCTAGCGTAATGATGTAGCAGCTGCTATTGCTAAAAATGAGCTTTTTGACTTTCTTATTGACATCGTTCCTCGTGAAGAAGCAACGAAAACACATAAGAAAAAAGACACCATCAGCGAAGTACAATACATTGTGACATTACCATCATCGGGCGCTATGGGAAATACCATACAATTGCCGAGTATGTAGAAAACAATTCTATCATTTTTCTTATCGTAACCTTTTTGATACATTATTTTAGACGGCCAAATCATTCAATTACCTCAAAATTTATCCTCAAATATTGTTACTATGGCGGTAAGCTGAAAATTCGATTTATTTTTTTTCTATCGATCATGATGATTTCGTTATTGCTTTAGACTCCGCAAACAATTCAACAACATTATACAATTGGACAATAAAAAATATTTAAATAAACTTTTTGTAATATGTCAGATTTACGTCTCTTTTATGTATCCGTATGAATTCATGTTGAGTTTTTCTGGTGTAATCCTCTATATTGTACATATGTCATCATCGTTGAAACTATGTGTTTGCTTACAAAGAAAAAAAAAACAAATATATCTATCTAATCTAGATATCAATAGAAATTCTTAAACATAATTCTATCTAAGCACGTCATTGTCTTAAATACATAAGAAAATTTTTTTTCACGATAGGAAATCGCACGTGTCATAAAGACCGATGATTTCATTACAATAAGACAAATCTTATTTCGTAAGTGCATGTCGATAGAAAAGAACGAACATTCGTTCTCTTATGTATGATTCATCGTTTGTATTGTCCATAGTTTTCCTATTCAAACTATTGCACGAAAATGAACAGTTATTTTACAGATTGTAAGAAGAGATTTTTTGTCTTTTGTTTTGAACGTTGAAGCTTTCTTGATATTTAGTTGAGTCAACAACGAAATTTGATTGGATTGCACGAATTCGAGTTCTACTGCAAAATTCCAATGGTGAAGCAATTAGTTTCGATAAACTTAAAAAAGAATTAAGTGGACAAAAATTCAATTCTAGATGTTTGTATTTTCTGTTTTTTATTATTATTTAATAGATTATTAAAGAATATCGTCAAGCAAAACCTGAATCAGATAAATCAACAAAAGAACTAACAATTGAATTGGAAAACAAATTAGCTAAAGCACCATTTATTACACGACTCGGCAACGATATTTACTATCTTTATTATTTTAAAAATGAAAAGATTAATTCCTATCGATAATTATAAGCTTTTATTTGACTTTTCGCTGTTTTTCTTCACTTGTTACTATTGATATTATGCCATCATTTTCTATATGAAAGAAATAAAATGATAACCTTGAAGAGTGTCTTTTCTCTCGAGAAAAGGCCATGTTTATTAATCTATCGATGATCTTTTCATAATGTAGAAATTGAAGGTAAGTTGATAAAGACATAAACATTCCAAAGAAAAATCAAAACATGGTAGCCGTCATTGGAACAGTACTTCACTGGTCTGATATATTAGTTTTATTACTCTATTTCTTACTTATTCTCGGTTTTGGTGTTTGGGTATGACTGATTGAACACTTCCTTGAATTCATTATTAGTTAGTTGACTTTCTAGAGTTCATGCAAGAATCGTGGCAGTGTTGGTAAGATTGATAGAGGAGGCTTATTTCATGTATAAAAAAAAAACTTTTTTTTATCTATCTATATATATTCAGGTGGATATTTTCTTGCTGGTCGTTCGATGCATTTTATACCGGTATAGTTTTAGGAACTCTATAAAGTCTTTGTTTGATGCTGTATCTCTATATGTAGGTGGGCGCTTCCTTGTTTGCATCGAACATCGGCAGTGGTCATTTCATTGGTCTAAGTGGTTCGGGCGCTTCGAGTGGTATAGGTGTTGCTGGTTTTGAAATAGGCGTAGGAAATAAAAAAAAAGACGATTCTTTCTGATTAAATTTATCGTATGTCTTAGGCGGTCTATATGCTCATGATACTTGGTTGGCTATTTGTGCCAGTTTATATGAAAGCTGAGGTAGTGTATGGTTAATTTTCAATCGCTGCCGCTTACACTGAGACACGTTGTGTACATAAAAAATTTGTCAACATTCTATAGGTCTATACAATGCCGCAATATTTAAAATTGCGTTTTGGAGGTGAACGCATACGAATTTACTTAACATGTCTTGCCTTAATGTTGTCGATATTTACGAAAATATCAGTTGATCTTTATTCAGGTGCTGTTTTTCTACAACAAGCACTCAATTGGAATCTCTATGCATCAGTGATAGCTCTTATTCTTTTAGCTGCTTTTTTTACTGTCGGAGGTAAATATAATGCGGGAAAACAAATTTCGTCGGTTGTTCATCCAGGTTTTCTATTGTAATAGGTGGTTTAACAGCTGTCATATGGACAGATTTTATTCAAACAGTAATTATGATCATTTCAGCTGTTATTCTTATGATTATCAGTAAGAATCTTGGAAGCGAATCTATTGCATATAATCATTCAAAATAGGTTTTGCAAGAGTCGGTGGTATTGAAAAAATACGTAGTCTTTTTCCATATGCTATTGCTAATACAACATTACTTAGTACGACTGAATGTGGTATTCCGAATGAAAATTATTTTTCGTTAATTCGCCCATTTGATGCTGATTTACCTTGGTTTGGTATCATACTTGGCGGTGCCATTGTTTCTGTATGGTATTGGAGTTGTGATCAAGTAAATAGAAAATTTTGATAAAATTAAAACAAATTCTTATTCTCATAATCGAGGTTATTGTTCAACGAACATTGGCAGCAAAAAACCTCTCGCATGCAAGAGCCGGCTGTCTAGTTGCAGGTCTATTAAAATTTTTACCATTGTTTCTTATGGTTTTTCCTGGTGAGTCATTCGTTTTTTTCTATGCAGTAGAATTTTTTATATCGGATTTTAATAGGTATGGTGGCACGAATACTCTTTCCGGGTATGAAAATTTTTGTTCGAATGAAATTGCGACATAAACTATTTGTTTAGACGAAATTGGATGTACCGATCCGAATACATGCTATCAAGTTTGTCATAGTAGAAACGGTTGTAATGATATAGCCTATCCACTTTTGGTCATTCGATTGATGCCGAATGGTTTTATTTAATCAAATCTCATCGTCATTTTCTATTTTCTATTTTTTGTTAGCAATTCGCGGTTTGACATTAGCCTGTATGATTGCTGCTTTAATGTCATCGTTAACATCAATATTTAATTCAAGTTCGACTATTTTTACCATTGATATTTGGCAACGTTTTCGTAAGAATGCGCATGACTGGGAATTAATGATTGTCGGCCGGTAAAATTTTGGCAGCGAAAAATTCTTAAAAAAAAATTCCTTTATTGAAGAGTATTTGTAATGATTCTTGTGGCTGTTTCAATTCTTTGGATTCCAATTATTCGAGCAGCACAAGGCTCGAGATTATTTGATTATATTCAAGCTGTTCAATCGTTTCTTGCTCCTCCGGTTGCTGCTTGCTACTTACTTGGCATACTATGGAAACGTATCAATGAAGAAGTAACGTGATTGATGCTCGAATAAAATATGAGTAGAAAAAAATGCAATATTTATTTTAGGGAGCTTTCTGGGGCCTTATATCTGGTTTATTTGTGGGTATGGTTCGTTTTATATGGGAATATTCTTATACAGCAATGCCTTGTGAGCTTGAACATTTGGATAAACGTCCATCAATAGTACGATTTAATTTCTTATATTTTTCTATTTTACTTTTCGTAATATCTGGCATTGTTACAATTGTTGTCAGTCTACTTACAAAGCCTATTCCAGATAAATATGTAAGTTGACTTGATGAAAAATCGATATAATAAAATTTTTGAAAAAATGATTCTTTTAGATAGCAGGTTTAACTATATTCGATCTTGATAATCTTGATAAACCAGTTCCGATTCCAACTCGATCTGGCTGTATGTATAAAGCAAATACATATTACGATGAAGAACAACCCTGTTCATTTGAAAATCCGTATCAAGATCAGCCCGAAGCGCCTCCAACTGATGCAGAAAAGAAAGCGCTACACTTTTTTGATACGAGTATTGTCTTTTTTCATCGTAGATAAATCGTGTTTTAATTTTTGTTTTTCGCATTCTAGAATATTCCACTGGAATATCATTCTATGTAAAAACTGGCTTTGCTTGGATTTGTGGCTTAGAAAAAAATGATGAACTCGATGGACAATCAATACATTCGAATAGCGCTGCAAATGATAACACAAGTAGTAGAAGAAGTATATGTGTTCTTCGTGAACCCAATATTTCATCTTGGCATAAATATTGTTCTTATGGTGCTGTTGTAATTCTATCGTTCTGTGTTTTTATATGGGCATTCTTTACTGATTACAGAATCCGATTAAATTGAATGTTTCATATATTTTTTTTTCGTGAACCAAATTTAATAAATGCAGAAAACGAGAATATAAAAACAAAGAAATTTGAATGCATTCAAAATATGGTTGTTGTTAGAAGATATTAAAGTCTGAGTCTAAGGGTGGGATTCAGTAGTAAGACCATACTCACACCCACACCACCATTCTCTTTAAGAATGCAAAATCTTTAAAATATGTTTTGCATAGATTTTTATGGTTTCGCCATTACCAAAATCAAATAGTTAGAATATTACAATGTTTTTGTTATTCAATCTTGTTATTATTGAGTACAAAATGTCTACTATTGAAAGAACATAAAACAAAGCACTCGCGTGAATCTAGTCAGCTACATTCATTCTTCGAACGTCTGATTCATTGAATGTAGTATGTTGTTTTTGTAAAAAGGATAACTTAGAAGAAGAAAAAATAATATTAGCGTTCTTTACGTCAAACGATCGGCTGATGAAACACAAACAGTGACCAATGATATTGCGAAATACTATTTTCCCAAGATATTTTCTTTGTTGGCCATTGGCTCTGTAGTATTTCGTGAGTAACGAAATAGTTTATTATTATCCGGTTCTATTTGAAACTTTTATGCAATGCAAATATCGTATAGAATGGAATGCAGATGAAATAAAGCTTTAAAATATCTTTACAAAGAAAAACAACAGAAGTGGCCAATTATCTGAGAACATACATATAAAATTACGCAGAAAAGAAGCATTATCAATGTTTCTTGAGAAAAATTTGCAAAAATCAATTCATTGCATTAGAAAAAACAGTTGTGTTCACTTGCGTGTATCTGGTATAATCTTTAACAATGTCTAACACAATAAATACCGTTTCGAAACAGGTAAGCAATCAGAGACTGTTATCTTGTTCATTAGTCCGTTTACGTGTCTACGCAGGTTCATGTTCGACATGTCAAACTTCATATGTCTGATCTTCCGTCTTTATCATCGCACTTCGAGTAAGAAGACAATTAAATACTCATTTCATATAGTCCACTGTTGTATTTTATGCAGGAGAAGACGAAGACCACCAGCAGCTATTATCTGTATATTATCTTTTATACTCTTACTTTGTCTTGCGATTGTAATTGTCATTCCATTGGTTTTGGCTATTACAAAAACAGGTCCTTTCGCCGCAACAGCTAGCGTTGACCAAACAACTGTAACAACCACCACGACAACAACAGCAACTACGACGACAACAACGACGACAACAACCACTACAACAACGACGACAACAACCACCACAACAACGACGACAACTACCACTACAACAACTACAACCACCACAACAACAACATCAACAACGACTACATCGACCAGCACAACGACAACAACCACCACGACGTCAAAAACGACTACATCGACTACATCGACCAGCACAACAACAAGTTTGTATATATTTTCAATGCGACTGATGCGTAGAGAGAAAAGCGATTGAAAGATAAGAACGTAGAAATCTACTCGCTTACATTTCGGAGTTGCTCAAAGCACGCTAAATGTATGGTTCCTGTAGTTGATTTTACTTGGAGTAGTTTGCTTTCTAATATTCTCGACATTTCCAAAGTGTAATAAGTAAATTTATGTGATTTTTGATTAGCATCAACAACAACGTCTACCACTTCTACAACTACCAGTAAGTTTATGAGTACGAAATGCAAATAATTTTTACATTCCTGTGTGATTAGCCACTACAATCATTCTTCCAGTACAATGTTCCAGCTACACAACGAATGTGGATTCAACTCGACGTATTTCCTATATGGGTACCAGTACATGCGATTTGACGTTATTTGGTACAACAGGTACTTGGGTTCGTTTCATGAGTCCAGCTGGCGCCACCATGCCAACCTCAGCTCCTAGTACTTCCACGTGTGGCACCGATGCACCCGGTTGGTTCAATGGTGCATATCCATCTACGGCTGGAAGTACTACGACTGGTACGGTTTGCTATAATTGGGCTGGAAATACATGCAATTGGTCGAATTCGATTCAAATTACGCATTGTAGTACTTTCTATGTGTTTAAACTTATCAATACACCAGTGTGCAATCTACGATATTGTACTGTGTAATGGTATATTTTCGAGAAATATCAAACACTCTTATGATACTAACCTTTGTATATACTATATCAAAATTTATATTTTGACTTCTCCGAATTTTTCTATTAATCAAATCTAATTAATAAATGATTTTTAATGAACTACACATCAAATTCGTTGTTTTTCAGTACGATCAATTACTCTGCGGAAAGAAAATTTTGATAATATAGTTTGTAGATGGAGTTTATCATCTCTTATAATTCTTTAGAAAAAAAAATATCTATATATATATATATATATAGGACTATATATGCATTCTATGGAACTGTTTATAATTCTCCTGTTAAAATTGTTCTATATCGACGAACCAATCGGCTGCCTTGATGATTGTACATTTGTATAATGTGGTTGATTCGTTCTTGACATGTGTCCATGGGAAGATATGAAATAACTTGATCGCTGAAATTTTCCATTTTGTTCACTACTACTTGTCGAACGGAACGATGCTGACTTAAATGCGCGTACTAATTCGTTTCGTATGTGTTTACCACTAATAATATATAAATAGAAATTGATTCCGTAATTAAAATTTGTTAATAAATCAAATATTTCATGTGTTATAAGCATATAATATTCCCATTTAGCATTACACATATGAAAAACATAAACAGATAAATATTTTATTACTTCGAGACTTGAGCCCGGCACATGTAATATCAAATAGATTGTTGTAAGTATGACTAACATTCGAGATATTTTAAATAGTAAAACTGTTTTCGATCGAGAATTATCTGATGTATTTGTATGATCCATTAATGAATGTTCACTAAATAATTTACTCATAATAAGTATATTTGCGGTTATTATTATTGCCAATGGTAATAATGTCATTAGAGTTAGACGCCAAAAGTAGATTGTTAGCTTTACGTCAATTTCAGCATAGACAACTAATGTTTTACAACGACAATTTTGTTTCGATGTTGTGGACTTCGATGATGGCGAACAATCGAGACCTTTCATAACCAAATGATACGATTGAATAATCAAAGTAAATAGAAGTATAAGAAATAAAATCCGACGAGCATTTATAACATTACAAATATATTTTGACCATAGTGGAAATCTGACCGCAACTAAACGTTCGATCGCTAATGCAACAAGAACCCTTTGAACAAATAATTTTACCGTTAGAGACAGAAAAATCTGCGATATATTTATTACCATGAGCTCATTGAATAAAATACAAATCGAATGTAATAATATAGTTTACATAAAATCGTATGTTGAATTAGTGTTCGCTTATCTGGATTTCGATATTGATGTAATTCATCAAATGCAATTAGGGCTGAAAATAAGATAAACTTATATTTTATTTTTTTTGCTGTTGTTGTTTTATTACTTTCACATAGAATAGCGCCAGTATCAACGATAGCCAATGCAATTAAATATTGAGTGTACGAATTTCGTCTTAGACCTAAGAAGAAAAGTGAACTTATGTGAGAAATTTTGCGCTCGAATACAAAACTTACGCCCACGACATAAGACAAGAAGACATAATAAGTTACCAAGAAAACCAATTACAAATACGGCAAATGTCCCTAAAATCAGTAAAAAGAAAAAAAATCCATGGTTGTTGTTATTGTTTCTGTTTTACCGATATGATTGACCCACCAAGCCCAACTTTTTTGGAAATAAATTTTTTGGTAATAATCCAAATCAGTGCTAGTTAAATTGATTCCAGCACAAAACGGCATTCTAAACAGAAATCATGAAGATAGAAAAATGCGAAAAGGAAATACCTCATTTATTATAATGAGACATTATAGAATCTTTGATCGTACGAAAGCAATGCCTGTCACAATTCATGAAAGAAGTAAATCATGCAAAGTCTATTGTGAAATAAACGTTATCACAGAATATTTTTTCTCGGTTGATCAAAAAATGAACAACTGTACACTCTATTTAATTGACACGATCTATTTGTTTATGCACTTTTATTAGGCATAGACAACATGTATGTTGTGACAGGTAACAACAACTGGCGTCAATGCTGTTTGACCTTTTCTACGAGAAAGAAATAAATCATCGTTCCATCTGATTGAAATCTACGTTTATCATAAATGTTACTTATACAGTTCGCTGAATTTATTGTGCGAAAATCTCCTTAGACTATAAAATATTTACCGACGAATTCGTTGTGTGGCGTTAGGATAGAGAGATATTTTGCCCATCATGGAATCTAAGTAGATTAGATCATGCCAAAAAAAACAAAATCTAATTTATATCGTCCTTTTTTTCTTTTTGATGTTTGTTTTCAAGTAGGCTACGTTCCTCTAACTAACACGTTATAAACAACAAACGGATGCTAGAGAATTTCTTTTTCTCTCTCGCTCTTGGATTTGCTCAAGTCGATAGAAGAAAAACCAAAGACAACATCACGTACAAGAATAGCAAATCGGTAATAGATTGCAACTGCATTTCTCAAAAGTCACTATGAATTTCCTGTCTTTTTTTCTCTATTGTCTGTTAAAAAAAATGACTTACTCGATATTACACATTCATATCTTATAACAAATGTGATCTTTTTTCTGTTTCCTAAAATTGGAAAACTCTATTTTTGATCAAAACTAATTGAGTTCATTTGCCAGTTAAGTGTGCTATCGATAAAAAAAAGAAAACCCGAAAATAGATTTCCTCACTTACGGTCATTTTATTAATAAAACAATATTAATCTCATAGGATGTGTCTAAGAATAGTAAATGATTCCATCTATTTCTATGTCTGGTTTTGCTCGCATATGACCGAAAATGATGTCGGAAATAAACGGAGAAAGGATATATTCCAACGGATATGGCTCATTAATAATAAAGCTGTATTTAGCATATGAAATCATTTTATTTTCGATGATTGACTCCGAAAAAATAAATACTTCTATAAAGATACTTTTCAAGTTCGCATCATCATTTTCTAACTATTCCCTATTATCAATTCGAGTATTACGCAACGTGTCAGATTTATCATTATTAGAATAACTTGCCTGGCATGATAATATTCGTTAAGAAATGAATCCATAGTTGTTGATTAATTTTCAGAAGAATTTTGGCAGAAATATTCGTATACCGATCTCAACGATAGCATGCGTCTAAAAGAATGGAAATCTATGTTGTTTTTTGTTATTATTTCCTGTCAAATTGTGCGAACAACTTTGCTCTGCTGCATTCTATATCCGTTATCGAACCATTTGCATACAAACGACAAGCGTCAAACGACTATTCCTGCCGAGAAAATGCCTAGAATAAACATTTTTTTTAAAGACCGAGATATAAATATATTTTGTATGCCTATGAAAGTTCGGCGACACGACTCATCAACATCACTAACGATACCGTAGTAAATGAGATAAATCAGAAAGGTCGCTCCTCTTTTTTCTTCCTTTGGCAAGTTTGCATCTATGCTGATGTTTAGATCGACTTTCTAATCATGTCGCTCTAATTAAAAAAATCCGTAATGAGAATTCTATGAGGCCTAATGTATTCGATAATTTACGTTATAGATTGTCCTGTTTCCAACAAATTATTTGTCAATCAATAAACGTTACAGTATTAGAAATCTGATCTTGTGGTTTTCATAGACGTTGTCCGAAAAAAACAACTATGTGACTTGAATTTTCATTATTTTGCAATTCTCTTTCTCGTGTCTACGGAGGCTATTGATTACATCAACATTAAAATATACGATCAATCAAGCGAGACTCTTCTCGTCCGACAGAATATTTTTAATCTATACAAACCAATGGGAGGAGACTCCATTTCATTTCTTGCGCCCTTTCACGTCAACAATTTGTACGTTTACTTTTATTGTAGATGTAAAAATAACACACGATAGAGAGAATAGGTAGATCATATACACGCTTGTTGCTACACTATGTGGAAAAAAGTATGTCTCCTCTTGAATTTTAACAAAGAGAAATCTAAACATATGCGCAGCAATTATTCTTTGGCCAAATGAAGAGAGAAAAATTGATTTGAGCAACATGCATTACCTCATCTTAATGTCATGCCTTATACGTGATTGCATTTATGATACAAAAAGACGAAGAAGAAAAAAAAACAAGTAAATACTATGACTGTTCTATTTGAAAAATGAAATATCTATCCTCATTCACCTTATATGATGAACGGTTACATTCACAACAGTCAACGAGTACTATATGAAGTATTTATATTTGTTTTGTTTTGTTTTTCATTCGTTAGATTATCTACGATGTAAAATTCTGCGCGGCAGCTTTACCTTGGTTCGGTGTGATTTCTAAGATCATGTTTATTATTTAAGATAAATTTTCAATTCATAATGAGTACTACGGATCTTCGATATCCTGCCGAATCGAATCCTCCGAGTTCGTCAAAAGCTCAAGATGCACCTTATTATAGTGTTCCTCTGCCGGTTCCACCTAATGATCCACAAAATGTACGACCTACAAGATGTGTTACTGGTCTACGTTTTTTAACGACAATTCATGGAATATTGAATATTGTCATTTTTGTAGGTTGATTTCATTCCTTTTGTTTTGTTTTATAATTTAAAGATGAATAATCTAGGTTGCACTTATTTGTGTTATAATCAGTGCTGGCGTGTCTGACGACGGAAAAGCTATTGATAATTCAGGAATAGAGTCAAGCGCTGCTGTCACTGCTTTTCATACTCGAAATGCAGCTCTTGTGTTTTCAGCAGCCGGCCTTTTCTTCATTGTTCTTGATACTATCCTTCATGTCAGCCGTCTTGTATATCATTTTCCAGCTATATGTGATCTAGCTGTAAGTATGAACTAAATATTTAAAGAAAAACTTTGTTTTTTCTTATTCTAAAATAGTTCATTATTGTTATGCTTGTACTTGCTGTCGTATATCTTATTCTTGGGTATAAATTTATTTTGGTTGTTATTGTAGTGAGTGAATTGATGATTTTGTTTTGTTTTAATTGAATAGATGTTGCGCAGCAGTATGGGAACAAAAAGCACGAGATACACTTGGAGTCGCTGGTGTATTGCAGCATAAAGGTGCGGCTGCATCTGCTGCGGTGAGTATTTTGTTGTACAAATCATTTTTAATATTTTCGTTTTCGATATTTAGTTCTTTTTATTTGTGGCTATGGTTGCTACTGCTATCGATTTTGGCTTACGATTGGCCATTAAACCACAACAACGATATAATCCGTAATCATTCTCTTGCTGCTATGCTTCGAATAAAAACACTTGCTTTCGTCATATATAGATAATGCATTCGACTTCGTTTTTAATTGTTTTTTAAATTTTATTTGTTTTTCTAGTTCTTCTGTTATAAATAAAGGTGCTTACGATCCTCATGTCGATCCAGCTGGTACACCAAAATTCTAAACGACGAACTTATTTCTTTCGCCGATATGCTTTTCTTTTAAAACTTTGTATGACAGATATGTCCTTTTTTTTCTCTTTTTATTCAAGAAATATAAATCGACGAAAAAAAGAACACATCTCGATGCTTTTTCATGCCTTTCAATATTCTGTTTAGATCATGTTTCTAAAAAAGGTACATAAAACATGACTGGGAGTGGAGTAGTTGTCAAATTTTATTTTATTACAAAACTTATTAGACAACATAGAAATTCACACGATTCAGTATACTCATAAAGGTGACTCGTAGAAAGTCAACAAATATGAATCATCAATATAGAAAAGAAGAACGCAAAAGAAAAAATGTACCGTTCTGTGCGTATTCGGGCACATTTTGTGAGGCATTTATATTGCTATTCTTTATTTCTATAGTCACGACTGATTATTCATTGGTCTTGCAGACATCTGATGAAATTTTTTAATTCTGTATTTTCCACGTAGATGATTTGAGTTTTTATTTTGAGAATCTTAATCACTGTTGTTTTTCCTTCAAGATGGATTTAGCGATACATGACATTCGGAAACCAAGTTACTGGTACTGTGATGCATGCAATCGGGTTCTCTTGCATGGTGAATATCGTTTCAACTGCACAGTCTGTGATAATTATGATTACTGTAAAACATGTGTAGAGACAATTGATCCACCACATCCACATAAAATGGTACCCGAATTTGCCTATGGTCGTGAAGAAACAAGAGAATGTGCTAAATTAGATATGGCTACTGCAATCAGGGCAGCAATAGCAATGTATTTCGATCGGTGTTGCATGGGTATACGTGATGTAGACAAAGAAAATCCTTCGATGTATCTGGATTCATATTCATGGCAAACATTTCACACCATTGGTGATCGATCAAAGAAATTTGGACACGGACTACGAGGTTTAATTGAACCTCGAGGTTATCTTTGTATCTGTGCAAAAAATAGACCTGAATGGATGATAACCGATTTCGCATGTATATTTCAGAATATTATTAGCGTACCCATCTATACTCTATTTAATGATCGAGAAATAGCATATGCTATCAATAATACCAATGTATCTGTTGTTGTTTGTGATAAACAAATGTTACCGAGATTCATTGATCTTCATGTACAATGTCCGTCACTTCAACATATTGTTTGCATGGATCCTATTTCTGATATAACACCAAGTAAGTCGATATAGGCTCGTGTGAGAAATAGCATGTTTCGTTGCAATGTTTTGGTAATTATTTTTTATAGGTACGATAAACAATCGACCTTCCCTGCACTATATGGGTGATATCGAACAAGCTGGCTCCATCAAACAATATGATTATGTCAGCATTGAACCTGATGAATGCCTTACAATTATATCGACGAGTGGTAGTTCCGGTTTTCCTAAAAGTGCTATGGTCTCTGAACGTGCATTTCGAGCTGGATTTCCACGATGGTGCCTACCGTCGTCGATTGAACGCGTTACGTTGTGTTATCGTCCATTGGCATGGGCAGCTGATCGCGATGCAATTATTACAACTTTTCTCTGTGGAGGTCATACAGGTTTCTCCACACAAGATCCTTCTCGATTGATGGAAGAATTAGCATTGGTTAGACCAACACATTTCGGTGCTCCTCCGAGTATCTGGAACAAAATATATGCCGAGTTCAAAACATCTCTAGCGTTAGTGACAGCACAATGTTCACCGGAAGCCATCCAATATGAAGAAAAACGGCTTCTAGAACAATTCTCAAAACTTATTCCTAATCGATGCAAATCAATTGCTATTGGAAGTGCAATGGTTAGTCCAGTAGTATTCGATTTCATGAAACGATGTTTTACACACTGTTCCGTCAATGAATCCTATGGGATTACGGAATCTGGTGGCGTATCTTACAATAATATTATTGACAGTTCAGTTCAATATCGTCTCGAATCCGTCCCAGATATGGGGTACACAATCGAAGATAAACCATTTTCACGAGGAGAACTTCTCGTAAAAACGCATCAACTCTTTTCCGGATACATGAATAATTCAGAAGAAACTCGCGCTGCTTTCACAGAAGATGGATTCTTTCGCACGGGTGACATTGTTGAAGTACGTATGGCTCAATATGATATACGTGTGGTTGATCGGAAGAAAAGTTTCTTTAAACTTTCTCAAGGACAATTTGTATCACCTGAATCTCTTCAAAATATCTACATTCAAAGTCCTTTTGTTGAACAAATCTATATCCACGGTGATCTTCTATCAGATCAGGTTTCTGTTGTCGTCGTTCCTAATCAAAAATATGCACAAGCATTTGCTCTCGCACATCAGTTAACAAATTTCGACATGAATAATCCTGATGAAAAATTTGCTGAAGCTGTTCTAGAAGACCTCCGTTCAATCGGTCAAAAAGAATCACTTCGAAAACATGAAATTCCATCACGAATCATTATTGATTTTGAACCGTTTACACCTCAAAATGGTCTTCTGACATCGTCGATGAAACATTGTCGTCATAAATTAGCTGCACATTATGCTGATCGACTTAAATTACCTAGCAGCATACAACAACGTTTAAAAAACATGATTGAAACTGTTACCGGAAAATCGATTTCAATAGGCAGCAGTAAAGATAATATTTTTTTGAATATTGGCGGAGATTCATTAGCAGCTGTGCGTCTATCTGAAATGATTGAAAATGATCTTGGAATATCGTTATCATTGAACCTACTTTTTGATCCTCAAATGAATTTAGAACGGCTAACAACTTGTATTCAAGATCCTTCTCAATTTCTTCAATTAACCGTATCACAATTATTAAGTGATTCTCAGTTGGATTTGAATATCAAAGTTGATCAACATAAACACATTGTTAGTTCTCCTTCAATGGTTTTCATAACTGGTACCACCGGATTTGTGGGGTCTTTTTTACTAGCAGAATTACTAACAACGTATCCGTCGAAATGTAAATTTGTATGCCTTGTTCGTTGTGAATCATCAAAGAATTCATTGGATCGCATTCGAAAGAATATGTTATTCTATCAGATTTGGAAAGATGAATATGAACAACGAATCATTCCATTGCAAGGTGATCTTGGAAAGAATCATTTTGGATTAGACGATGAAACATATCAATCATTTACTCATCAAATTGATATCATCTTTCATTGTGGTGCAATAGTTAATTTTATTCTTCCATACAGTCAACTGTATGGTTCTAATGTTTGTGGTACTCGAGAAATTATTCGTTTTGCTACTTTCAATCCATTGTCTTGCATACCTGTACAATACATTTCAACAATAAGCGTTCTACCTTCTGATATAAATCAAGAGATATCAATTGATGAAATTTCTCCTGAACAATTAATTGGTGGTTATGCACAAAGTAAATGGGTTGCTGAGAAACTTATTGCTAAAGCAATTAATTGTGGTCTATCAGTTGATATTTATCGTCTCGGGTGGATATGCCCAGATACAAGAACAGGTGCATGTAATCAACATGATATTTATACTTTATTACTTGCTGGAATAATGAAAAACAATTCCTATCCAGAATCCATACATCAATCTCATTTAAATGGTTTACCAGTTGATTTTACTGCAAAAAGTATTGTATATTTGAGTAATCTTCAATTGCATGTGCATGGAAATATTTATCATGTGATGAATCGAAATAGTAATATCAAATTTGTTGACATAATTGATGGAATATGTAAATATGGTATGGAATTAGAGAGTGTTGCATATGATGTGTGGAAAATGAAAATGGAATCAATCGATAATCTACATAATCCTCTTGAAACTGTAGTGAAATATTTCTCACAGAGTAATTCTACGAAGAGAAATACGATAGCTACTGATCGATTTTTTAGTGCTATTTGTGAATTAGATGTTCCGTCGCTTGATGAAAATTATATTTTCAAATGGTTGAATTTTATAATGAAACATATTATTCGTAAATAATTTATTTTGTTTCTTTTCAATTGCAATTACTTCATGTGCGGGTGTGGGTGAAGGGTATATATGTATTCATATGTCGCATATATCGAAAAATTAAGCTAAAACTAAATCTAGGAATATATTTAGTTTTAGTTTAACTTTTTCTTTTCTCCATCTATATTCGAACTCGACATAGACAGCTACTCTTTGATTCTCATCTCTCTTACACGCATTTTACCAGGCAGGAACAGAGGCGTGCGCAAGTACGGGTACAACTTGTATTGGCATATAAAAATCAACTTCCCCCACAAAAACCTAGAATTCTAGAATTCATGTACTCGCATGTATTCGTATGTACTCGGTTGTACCGCACGATAGATGAACTCTAGAATTCTAGGTTTTTGGGGGAAAGAAGGGGTGATAAAACCGAATACATGGGAATACATGCGAGTACAAGTGTATCCTGTGTGTCACTAGCAGAGCTGTTAGTCTCTATGTAAATACCCCACACTGAAAAAAAAATGGTGTCACACGAAGCCTATGAGGTTTCGTGGAACTTCACTGTATACTATTAGACATCGCACCAGTCCACGAAACTATTTTAAGGTTTAGTAATCAAAGGTGTTCCGTAAAAAAAAACTCTTTTTATTTTTGGTAGGTGAAATGGTTTCGTAGGAGACCTCTTAAAGGTTTCGTTGTCAAAAGGTTCCGTATGATACTTTTTTTTCCTGTACATTTATGCTACCGACAGGTGCTAACTCATCAGAAAATTGTCCAGTCTCGATTATTTCATTCGTTTACGTATTTATCAGTCACTAGTAATCCAGTTTCAATATTGTATAACTGTTTTTTTGAACTCACACATTTTCGTGCGGACCCCTTTCTAGAAAAAATAGAGAAGGACTTCAATAATATGACAATGAACTTAAACATTTACTTGTAGAAGATACTGTCTATACCTCCAAAATTATTTTATGCTCCCGTTTTATGCACTACTACACCCCTTAGTTTTATTTCAGTGTTCACGGTCCTAATATTTTAAATCGTTGATTATTCGAACCACAGACTCTTTAATATAATAAAACGATTAGTTGGCTGTCATTTTATCTAGCTGGAGATTTTACTAGTTTAGAGCAAAATGATACATCTCATTTCGAATTTTAACTTAGAGAATCGAAAGATACACAAGCACACAAAAAGACATCGGAGGATAGACACAGATATAAGAGATGCACATAAATGGAAGCGGATCTGAATAGATATTGAGAGCTTAAAAATATATATAAAGTTAACGATGGATATAGATGATTCGACATGTATACATGCGTTTCAAATAAATATAAGTTTTAAGACGTACATAAGTATAAAGTGTTCAGATAATTCGTATAGGAGATTTGACGATCGATGTTGTCTTAACAAAACAATCATGTTCTGTTTTCAGACTTCAACTGAATACATATATCTACCAATAGCTGATATTGAAAAGATAACTGCTTGTATTACACTAATGCTAAACTAACACGAATGCTGAAGTATTGAGTTACTGTTTTAACACAAATAAAACAGCATTATATTATCTCTTCATAGTCAAATACAAAAATTTTTACAGCTTCTTTTATATTCATTCTAATTCCACGTGCCCACTGTAGATATAGCTCAGAATTTAGACAGAGTTATAAGAACTTTGATATAGATATACGTGATAATTACAGTTTTGAAAGGATTGCCATAGAAAAAAGTGTTATATAAGCATATAATAGCTTAGACATAGTTATAAGAATTTATACACACTTTTATAAGAGTGGATATAGAAAGACGGAGTTCGATGTCGAGTTCAGAGTAGGGGTGGGCTAATTTTTTTTACGGAACTTAATTAATGACATTAATTAATGACTTCCATTAGCCATTGATATTAATGGTTAATGAGAAACATTAACATTAATATTAAATTAATGTTAATGGCCCACCCCTAGTTCAGAGACGAAGGATAGAAATGACGGATCACGGTAAACAGAAGACATTGAGTATACAGTTTAGAGGCTAAATATAGAATTTCGGCTTAAAGCTAGAAATGACGGTTCAGATATATGAATAAGAGGTAAGGAAGGAAATAAGGAATTCATTTTTAAAAATAATCGTTTTGTAGAAAACTGGAGCTCTTTCGGAAGCCGTTGTGCAAACCTTTAGAGGTTTTCGAGAATGTTTATCGACACTTGACGAGTTTCCGAGAGTAAATTCTTTGTTTCTAAAGGCTCGAAAATCCATAGGTTTCCGATATGACTGATTTTGTCCTAAAAATCAAGGGATGCATTGATAGAAACGAAAATTAATTGTGCTTCTCGTTTGGATTCTACAAATGGATTTTATTCAAACGGTAAGATACATTGAAGAATAGAAACATAATGCTAAAATTTATTTTTCTCTTTAAGCTTCTTGAAATGGATTGCGCCCGATTGGTAAGTTATATTCGAGAATTAAAAACTAATGACTATTTTCCCTATTGTTTTATATTTTTGAAGTAGTTTTCCTCCGAATGGTAAGTAACATTCAAGAATAAAAACCTAACATTAAAATTTCCTTTTCTATTTTAGATTCTTCAAATGGATTTCATCTAATTGGTGAGTTATATTCGAGAATCAAAACTTCAAATCAATTCTTCTTTTGTTTTAGATTACTCAAATGGATCTCATCGAACGGTTAGGTGACATGTGAATACTCGAGAGATAGCGATATATGTCGTGTTCGTGGTCTTATGACACATGGCATGATAGTGAAATCTCTATTAGCTGTCAATTTATTTCAGGTTCCATGTTGAGTTTTGTTTTTCTGAGCTCTGAAACCTACTAAGGGTTTATCGGGAAACAACGTTTTTCAGAAAATACACAGAATTAAGTAGTAAGGTACGGAATTAAGGAATTAAGGATTTAGATATAGAATTAAGGGGTTAATGGACAAATACAGAGTTAGATATGCCTTCAATAAGACAGATGCATTTCTCAAGTGTGGATATACGTTGGGAGAGCTCTGTAGAAAACGAATTGACTGTATATTTATGTTTGGCCGATATCATACGACGCGCCATACAAAGCATCGACTACGAAACCTTTTTGTATGAAACTAAAAAATGGTTCAGAATTCGTTTCAAATCTCGAAACCATTTTTTAGTTTCTTATGATACCTTTTTTGTTTTCAGTGTACTGTTTTCTTCTCGGAGACAACACCATCATTCGATGTCCCCGGAATTAAAAATTTGAACAGGCCGCAGCCTCATGTCCAGACTGATTACATTGACTACAGATAGCAGATGGGTATGATTCGTTTAATGGTATAGCAGTTGTCGTTGTCTGTGGTAGACTGATGGTATTGGCTGTACGTTCCCGAGAATAGTTATTACTTGAATAGTTGGGTCGGGGTTGTTGATATGGTTTATGTGTATGATTGGTAGAGTTAAAAGAAGTTTCCTGTTGAGGATATCGAGAAAAGTTATTAGTTGGTCGAGATTTATTTTGAGTTGATTGTGAATACAAAAAAGATGAAGAATTAGGATTTGAATAGGTACTTCGAATATTTGGAGCTCGGTAATTATTATCGAAATTTCTTGAATAATGGGGTGAAAAATTATTCCACGTTTTACCAAATGATTGATTGACAGGTGGTATTGAAGTGGATATTAACGAGGGTATCGATTGCTGTTGAACGACTTGTTAAATTTGAAAGCTGCATTAACTCTTTAGCTTCTTTGGCGTGTTCAAGAAATTCAACCGTCGATGTCGGCTTTTTCTTACGTACCTCGAACTGTATACTAGGTTTTGTTTTATTCAAAAGATTTTTCAATTTTGTCGCCTCGCTCATAGTAGAATCCGCATCCTTACAAAGTTTCAAAACTTCGTTGAAAAAACTTCGAATCGATTGATGTTCTCCTTGAGAATACGATTCGAGTTTTTTAAATGCTAATTCTTCATGGAAAGATGACGTGAAGGCTCTTATCAATTCTGATACAAAAATATTCCTTGAAGAAAATAATAATCGATTATTTTTAAACCATTCTAAAGCATCGCCTCGTAGCGAATAAGAGATCAAGTTTAATCGAGTAGCATCGGTAATATGAGCTACATCTAAGAGATGTTCGATTTCTTCGATCCACTTTTTTACATCGTCTTTGCCACCCTTAAAGCTTTTAGGATTTTTTATTAGATTTCCTGCAATCGCTTTACGAAGATCATTTTGTGTTTGATCAGATATAGGAGTAGAAAAGCTATCGGAGACTATGGTTGAATTTATGACTGGTCTTTCACCAATGCCATCGATGGTATCAAGATTAACCATAATAGTAGATTTAATCGTGTTCGAATTATTCGAAACGATTGGATTAGACTCATTAGCGAAATTAGTTTGATATGTCGGTATAGAATCGCATGAGTTATTAGTTGCAGTTTGACGAGGTTTAGATTTATATGACGCACTATCAGAAGGTTCGAATTCTGGTACCAAGAATTCATAAAAATCATCAAAAGATCCAATTTCTTTTCGATTTTTTATATATTTACGTTTAGCGTAACCTTCGACTACAACCAAAATAGCTTCAAATCGAAAATTTCTCCCTATACGAAGTTGATTGAATTTATTTTCTGTCTCATCTAACCATTAAATTGCATTCTGTTTTCCTGAAAACGGTACAAAATTCTGTAAGATGAACGCATCAAAATTACCATCATTTGTATCCTGTTCGGGTTGTAATTGAGCATCAACTTCAGGTACTTCTTCAGAATGCTTAATAAGACGAGCTGATGGATTTATTTTCTTATAAGACTCGTCATTCTTCGAATCATCAATTGCATCGTTATCCTTAGATGCTCTATTTTGTTGATTCGCATTATCAATGGAACCATTTTCCACTTGGAAATTTGGAATCATATCAGTCAAATTATTCGAATTTTTAGTAGGCGAGCTATTATCGGTATTATCAACATCCACCTGAGATGGATTTTTATCACGAGACTGACTTCGTGTATCTTTCGAAATAAGTGCTTGTTCACGAGTATTTGTTTCTTTTTTATTATTCATAGTAAATAAATTTTGAAAGTTTTTTAGTCTATGTGGTGTAGGCAAAATTGCTCTTCTTCGACTGTTGCTAATCAAAAATTTTAAATTTTCTTCTGGATTTCTTGTCGATGTAAGAATGGAATTATCAGTAGTATGTTGAGTACTTAAGGAATTGCACGGTGATGATTTTAGAATACAAGAAATACGATCTTTATTGATCATTTAAATGTACCATAAAGAGTTTTACTTAGTGTTATCAACAACTAAATATATCAGCGAGCAGAGAATAAGAGAGAAGAAACAAATGGTACGGTAACAGAAGAGAGAGATAGAGAGAGGAAAAAAGCACAAGAAATTTCTGTTTTTTTTCTTTTATAAAAAAATGATAATGAGCACACCAAGTTGCCCAATTTCTTCACCAATTGTGAGGTTCTCGTCTGGGGATGTGTCAAATGACTTCAACCTCCGTTATCTACGAGGGTTAAATTGACGTTTAAGGGGATACTAATCTGTTTTCTATTGAGAAACTCACAATAAATAGGCTACCGTGACCTGATGATGTTGTGATGCAAATGATGATGGTCCGAGATAAGTTCGATATAGAGATCATCACACAAATAACACGAAGAAACACTTAGCGTCGGTGATTGTCATCTACTGACGCTAACATATACGACGAATCTAATTCATCTAGCTCAGAAAATACTAGCTTCTACATGTGAGCGTGGATGTCTGTGTTAGGGGTGTACAACTCACGCTCACGCTCATGAGCATGAGCGGTTTTCACTCGCGCTCGTGGTGAGCGCGAGCGGTCATTGCTCACGCTCATGAGCGCTCATATGAGCGTGAGCGTTTCTCCTTTTACTTACAATATACAATATATAAGTAAAATTCAGTCAACTTTAGCTTGTACCCTGATGTTTTCGATGATTATTTGTGTACAGCGACTGTCAAAATGTTTGTAAACCATATTTATTTATCGGACACATTATCAATGGGTTACTAATGAGTTTAAGCGATATTGGTGCCATTTTAATATTAACATTGATTATGGTTAATAATTTAGATGTATTTTATTATTTGGTGATAGGAAAATTCGATTGAGATAAGTGGAAAAGTGCAACATATACATTTAGATGTACTGATATAAGTTAACTAGTTGAAACTATATATGAATGAGATATCTTTAGTCAAAATTGCATGATATTATTGTTTTAAACAATAAAAGTATCTGTTTATCTTTCTTTCTTTCATATGCATCAATAATCTGTTTATATTCATACTTCATAATATAATCAATGTATATACATAAAAGAAAAGATGATAGCAAAATCTCTAATGAGGGTGTGAGTGTATATTGTAACTGGATAACATAGAACATATTGCATATAACATAAATATCACAAAAGCAAACTAAAAAATTGACAATGCGAATTAATCATGGCAATTTTCCACGGACTGATGTGATTGCATTTGGAAATGACTATGCTATATGCTGAATACAAAAGATTTGAAATTTCAGTTGGATCTATTTTCCCGATTGTTCACAATTGAATACAGATCGTCAAATTGCATTACAACAATTTTGATTTTCAGATAAAAAAACATTCACAGTTTCATATTTGAAGTTTCTAGAATATTTTTCTATGCTTGAAAAATATTTTTTCCAGTAGCATTCAACGATCTACTTTCAACTACGAACGATTAAAACAGTGAATTCTGTTGAAATTTCAAATGATTGATATACATGACATATATTCTAGTTATTTGAAAATTCAATTACATTAGTCCATACATATCATAAGAAGATCAATCATATGCTTTCTAATTTAATAATGAGACCTAAACATGCAATCAGCATGTTCCATTTTCTTCAGTTACAAAACACACTTGCATTGAAGGGAAGCACAAGAAAAGGGGAAAAACAAGAAAAAAAGTGAAAAACGAGAAAAAAAAGTCCTACTGTGTCATTGATTTGTTCCAATAAATATGGCGATGAGTAATTTTGAGTACAGATAAAGATCAGCACATATCACCACGAGAAATTGTTCGCAGAGCATCTATTCGGTGGCTCTCTTTCAAGACCATTAGATGACGCAAAGATGTTGATGAAAGGGAGGTTCTTTGCTTACGTGCCACATAGCCAGCAATTGAAAAAATTGATTCACTAGGTACAGATGTGGCAGTAATAATATTTACTCGTTGAGCGACTTTGTAGAGACAAGAAAAATGTTCGCGATATTGAATCCAAAATGAAGAGAAGTCGCATTTGAACGATTGAATAACTTGAGTAAATAAGATCAGTTCATCTTCAGGTGATAATGATCTAGACGGTTTAACATTTGTTGACATACCAACCATCATTTTCAGTTTGTCGGTTAATGTTTGGTTGCTTTTTGTTGCACTTGAACTTGTAGAAGTTGAAGAGCCAACAATCGATTGAGCCTCCATCTTCATGAAGTTCGGCAGGATTGCTTTTGCTGCTTGTTTATCTTCTCGACTTAAATTTTTATGAGATTCTGGATCGAGATAACTTGCTACCTAGATTGAAATAATTAAATAAGAGTTTATCATAGGGAATCTATTATAATTCTAAAAAACAAATTTTCGGAATTTTTTTCGAAGTTTAAAAAAAAGATGGATTGGAATGTTTCAAATGGTGTTAATCATTTTGAATATTATTCAAGAACTAAATTCTAAGCGATGACCCTTCCAAAAATAAACTATAATGTTTGAAAAGTATTTACATAAATCATGTGAAATATTATAGGCATATGCATACTGTATTCAGGAAAAATATACAGGACAACCCACGCGAAACTTTTTAAAGAACAGAGCTAAAGATTTTTCTTAAAAAGCAGCTTTCAAAGAACCTGGAAAATTAAAAAATATTAAAACACTACGAATAAAGCTTTTTATTATGTCATATCTGTTGTTGTTTTCGTCACATTAAACTAACAACTTACAGGAGATGCTTTCTCAGAACGTATTAGATATTTAAGTAAAACATACCAGCATCAAGTCCTTTTGTGTTTTTGTCATTTTGATATCAAAATATAGCTCAAATTGAAAAAGAACACTCTTTTTCAATAAAGCTAAATATTTTGAATCTTCTTTTTTGGGTTTGAGACCAAATCGAAGGATGTTGATGGTTGTATAGGCAAGCGCTAATGTGGCATAATGTTTCCCAGATAAAGAGCGAGTTGCAAATTCAAGTGGTTCAAGTACATCTTGAAGGGCTTGCAAAAGATCCCAATTTTCATGATCAATGTAAACTTTAGCCAAAGATGATCGTTGTTCCCCATTGATGCTTGGAAATTTGTGAATAAAAACACTTTTTACAATTTCCTGGTAATGAATCAAACGCTTCAACATGTGAAACGTGCTACTCCAACGAGTCTAAATATTCAAAAAAAAGGCAGATTTTAGTTTTTTAGTCTAATTTGTTTTTAATTCGAATATGTGTATGTGACTTTATTTGAACATATTCACGGGGATTTTCTGAAATTAGGATATGAAGAAAAGTTAAACATACTCGGATATCAATAACGAACCCATTACAAGGACCATGCTCATGATTACGAACATATTGATCGATTGAGCTAACATTTCGCATAATTTTTACCATTTTACGTGTTCGAAGAAGTAAACCATGTGATTTACGAAGAACGTCAAGTAGTTGATTTTTTTCATTATCATTGGATGCAGGTAAATCAACAGATGAATCATTAGAATCGTCATCATCACTGATGAACTCGTCTTCGTCCAGTAAATTTGTGGGCGGAACTGGTGATAAAATGTCATCATTCAATGAAACATTCACGTCGTTGTTTTCATTTGGTTGTCCATTATCACTTAATTCAACACTACGAGATGCTTGTTCAGCATCGACGATTTCATCTTCTACATCGTCATCAATATCAATGAAGTCGTCATCACCGTCATCAAGTCCTATGTTCTTCTGATATGATTTAAAAGGATACCTACAAGAATACCATAGTTTATATATTTTTCGAATTATTAAAATTATATTTAAATAATTTTATCAATAGTATTCTTAGTTGAAACGATTAGTACTTTCTTTTTCTATAAATCTATTTGAAGTTTTTAACTTCGTTTAGATTGAATCACGATCATGTCGTTGAAGAAAATTTGAAAAATCCGAAGCATTAATGAATTTTCAAATAGATATATGCGATCGAGTCTTCCGTAAGCAACTGTACATAACAGTTGTCTTTCGTAATAGCTAGACACCAATGAGAAGGTACTGTTTCTGATAGAAAATAATTTTATGCTTGTCCTGTAGAAATTTTTATCTTTAACCGTTCAATTCATGAAGAAGAAAGGCGAAACTTATGCAAGATTTTATGTAATAATAGGTTTATTTAAAACAAATAGATATTACTTTCAAACTTACTTTAAACGGAAAAAATTCTATCGATTTGCTTAAAAAGATGATAGTGTACTCAATATTTTTTTTTAAACACGACTTATTATTTATAATTTTCTTCTTTCTGAACAAATCATTAGTAATTGATATCGCTTTGTATTGGTTGGCTGTAACTCAACCTATTGATAATAGTGTGATTAGAATGTAGTCAAGCGATAAGTCTTACAAATTCCTAAATGGCATATAATTTTTAAATATTCTTTTTAGAAACAATATTAAAATGAATTTTCATTTAAAGTATTTTAATTGTAATGTTAATTCTCTAGATTGATTTTTTTAAAACAAGCTGTTGACTTTCTATTCATTGATACTACTGTTCCTTTTTATTGTTCACATATACCATGATATAATTATGTACAAATACATGCTCACGAAGACGAAACGAAAAGAAAAAAAGCTGTTAACTATGTAGTCAGTAGTTGCAATATAATCTCCTAAACTAATCAACAAAGTTTCATAAAAAAATTGAGCGCTTTTAAAACGCTTTCAGGAGAAAAGAATAAGAATTAAATAAAAATAAAATACTAAAAAATATACCGTTGCTCTCATTTGATTTTGAATGAAAACAATTAGCTACCTTATGTTAGCTTAGTTGTTCAAAATTTCGCTTTGTAATCTTTTTGTTAAATCGCACGTTGAAACTAAGAATATAATGAAGCCTCCTTTATCATCTCCATAAATTATTCTTTTCGATTTATCTTTATATTAGACTCGCTTATTGTATATACAGATCATCTATACTACAATAATATTGATTNTACCCTTCGTTTCATAAACCCTTTAAGGGTTTATGGCGTTGTCATAAACCCTTCAAGGGTTTAGCATGATTTGTAGAAAGGACAAGGGTTTATTATTCTACTCTTTTTTTTTACAGTGTAGTTGTATCATGTATTTCTTGAGTAAAAAAGCAGATGCATGATGATAATGTAGCAAGACTTAACGACGTTTGTTATTCATTATTCATTCACTATATTTTCTCCTAAACGAGTATCGTAATATTCAATAACTACAAGCAGAAAAAATCAAACGCGTTGTGGATAAATATGAGAAACCATTTTTAATGAAAGCAATTTATTTTCTAGTTTCAGATCTAACGATGATTTCAATATTGAGGAATCTTATCGGGACGTATACATGGATTGATTTTTAAAATTTTTGAATAATTCTTTGTCTGATCCTCACGGTGACGAGCTAAAACATATAATATGAATTGTGTTTATTTGCGAGACAAATCTGTTATTTTTTTTAATAGTGCATCACACCCTTAAAGCAATATTTCCAGATTATTGAAAATAATTTGAGTTACACAATCACGTGATATGCAATTTAAGACACTGAATCTAATTTTTAACATCCAATTCTAAATATTTGTTTCATTTATATTAATGTTACTATGCAATTTTCTTATAAAATCCATTTACTACCTTAGAGGATTTTTCACATTGACATTGCTTATTTGAAAAAAAAAGAGTTGAATCACCATTGACATAACAAGGCTAACATTTTTTTTGTTTTTCTCGATCAGTTGTAAGTCGAATGTATCAACAAACACTACTTTGAATATGTACATGAATCAGAATAAACAAAAAATAACATCAACTAAAGACAAGATGAATGGAATGATAGATACTTGCTGTTTTCGGTAAAAAATCTAGTATACAACATTTTGTTTTTGAGGACTTGACCACATATCTACTTGATAAAGCATGCATCTTACTGATTTCTAAAATTTTCATCAAAAGTATGAATCTCGTTATCTATATGAAGTCGAAAAATTCGATCTAGTTCATAGATTTTACGACTGTGAAGTTCATCTTGAATTTGAATTGACTATTCTAGCTCTAGTTCGTTTTTGAACATATTAATATGTCGATTAGAAAGTTCTGAAGGAATGAAAGGACAGTCCAACAGCATTGAAGAATTTGAATTTTTTTATTTCATGACTATCTTACTGCGACGAAGAATTCATACAAATTTATCTACTAATTGAATTTCCTCAAAACTATATTATACAATGACTTACCAATTCTCATTGGGCTTGTTCCAAATACATAGAGCATGATTTATTATAAGGTTCAATGTATGTCCAATACAAGGAAATCGAGGACCGAAAGCACCTGATTCAGTAGCAGCCTTGATATCGCTTGCATTGTCTGTTGTAATGCCAGCATGTGAGCAGTCATTCAATCCAAATCGATTTAATTCATAAGCAATGAATTCGTTCAAATTTTTGCTCAACTTTCGATTCGTCAAACGACGAAACGATAAAAGTAACGATATCGGTTTCATCTCATTATTGAATACATGAGCAGTAAGACATATATAATGGTCTCTTGTTGGACCTTTCCAGACGTCTGTTGTATAAGCAATTGGCCGATTTTTAGGTAAAAGTTGCTTGAGTTCGTTAATATACATATGATATTAATTTTGAATTCTTTTTTGCATCGTACGTCTGTCTGGAGCTCGATAACCAGATTCTAATTTTTCAAATAATGCGTCATACCATGGATGAGAAAAATGATTGTATGGTAGTCCACCATGAATAACACAATTCAAAAGTAGACCATCTATTTCTTGTCGACGTTCTCTATCGATGACAGAACGATTTTTAGGGGCATTTTTTCGTCGATCAAATGATGAAGTGATTCCAGCATTGATTTGGTGCCGAATAACGAGATGTCGACGTAGATTAAAAGTGGAACTTCCATTTGTTGTTTTTAACTATAACAAAAAATATGAATATTACTAATCGTTTCTTTCTCATACGATAACGCATGAATGTGTCATTGTTGTAACAACAACCAACAAAATCAGGCTTAAAAAATTTATTCTAGTTATAACTTGATCAAACAAAAATATTTCTTAATAAGACTCTTATCACAAGAGTCAGCTGAGGGTTTAATATTGCCGATAATGTTTGACACACGGACAAGGTCACCCAAACACAATTTTCGTCATTATATTGATTCAAGTGCATATCGAATAAATATGAAATCATTGATGTTATTAAAAAACTGTATATAGTTACTGTGAACGTCTAGCTCTAGAAGTGTATTATATAAGTTTCAGGTAATATGACATAGTTTTTATTGAGAAAAAAATATTTATCGATTTCTGTTCACACTATATGAATACATAAATAATAGGACGGAATTACGGTACATAAATCTCTGAAAGAAGTTTCTAAAATAGTTCGGTAATATTAAAATAGAACCTTAATATCATAATGATCAAGAATCAATTATTTAGAGAGGCAAGTTGAACGTCAATTACATCCAAAATTCTACTCATTTGGGTTCAAGAAAGGCTTCACATCATAGGAGTTTTGAATATTAATCTATAGTAATATCAATGTAGTAGTTTAATAGAAACTATACCAGTGAACAGGCTCTCAAATAGCAACTATCAGATTGACATCATTAGAGTAGTAGTAGCAAAAGAATTAGGCAAATAAGAAAATTTCCCACGCTATCATCAACATGTTACAAGGATTTTTTTCTGAAATTTGAAGTTTGCATTCAAAAATTTTACTCTATATTAGCTATGTGTATTTATATACAATCTTGAAATATGACGACAAATCAACGTATGGATTTTCTCAATAACCTACTGTATTTAGTCAGAAACATTTGTGGATTTTATCCTACAAAGACAAATTTATAGTAATGTTATATTTTATTTTAATATCCTCAAATTTTTCATATGTATTCGATTTCTCTTTTAATTCAAGTAGTTGCCAGAATTTCGTTTTGATGATGTGATCACCACGGCAAACTTCCACGTCAGTGTTACGTCCTTGAGAAATTTTTGCCACGAAAGCCCTACTACTATAGTTCCTTTGGATCAAATTGTAACTGATACGATACGCATATAAATATATAGATGGATAAATATATATTCATTATAGGTACTTACTTCCTTGCATAGATTGCACCTAAACTTGTTATTTTCATATGAAGTAAAATGACTCAAAACCTTTGCAATTGATAAATGTTTGGAAGGTTTCACATTTTCTTTGTTATCCTAAAAGCATAAAAACACTATAAAATCCAATAAAATAGATTTTGTTGAACAGACTCACCTCGTCGTCTTCATCTAATGATCTTTCAAATGCATCTTGTTCGTGGTTTGGTGGGGTTTGTTGCGATGAAACGTGGACAATATTGACATCAATCGATGACAAATCGACATTATCATCGAGATCTTGATTATTACTAACAATAGTAATCGTTGAATTTGTTGATTGAGTTGTACGAGAAAGTACAGGAGAAGTGTAAGGCATTAATCGATTCGATACATTTTTTCTCCTGGCTTTAGGAGTTTGAGATCGTTGTGATAGAGGCTCACGAGAAACAGAATGAGAAGCTCTAGTGGAGCTAGACAACGACGAAGAACGAAGTCGATTATCAGTTGGATTCGAATCAGAATCAAAAGTACGTGGTGGTGTTAATGATGCCATGTTTGGAAAAAATAAAGAAAAAACGATTGAACTAGAGACATCGTTACCGGTTAACCATAATTCTTATGAACCAATCGTATTTAAATCATTCGATATCACGTTACAAAAAATAAAAATTGATAGTTGGCAGTTCTTCAATTACACTATTCAATTATTTTCTTTCGATATCGAGCGCAAATCGACTGAATGGTTTAACTTGCAGAAGCCGAAACACCACTTCATAATAATTTTAATTAGCAGATATATTAATGAATTTGCAATATCTCCATAGTTCAATGGAACTTACTCATGCTAGAGCAGTCATTCAATTCCGCAATGTTGAACATTCCGGAACCAGTTCCGCCCCCGGAATCAGTTCCGTCGATTCCGGAATTCGGTCAAATATGAACACTGTCCGATTCCGGAATTGGTTCATCTGATTCGGGAACTGGTTCATCCGATTCTGGAATTAGTTCCTCCGATTCCGGAACTGCTTCGCCCGATTCCGGCACTGCTTCGTTCGATTCCGGAATTAGTTCGTCCGATTCCCGGAATTCCACGGAATTCAGTCCAATTCCGGAATTAGCTCAATTCCAGAATTAGCTCAATTCCAGAATTAGCTCAATACGGAATCGGTGAGAATTAGACGGAATTCCTAGGAATTCCGTGTGATTCCGTTCAATTCCTGTTCGACCTAATTCCCGGAATTCCGTGTAATTCCGTGTGATTCCGTGTGATTCCGTTCAATTCCTGTTCGACCTAATTCCCGGAATTCCGTACGGGAATTGCATTCGTCACCGAGCTATCAGATATATCAAGTGTCCATTGATCACTCAATTCCGGAATCGCTGGGAATTAGACGGAATTCCGTGTAATTCCGTGTGATTCCGTTCAATTCCTGTTCGACCTAATTCCCGGAATTCCGTACCGGAATTGCATGGTGTGGGTGTTGCCATAAGTGTGGGTGTCAGTGTGGGTGTNGAATGGTTTCGATCTGATTTATCATTTTTTCTTGTACATTCATTATTTCGTTTGGTACGTTTATATTCATATTTTTGTTTTGTTCCATTACATTGAGGTGAATTTCATCTAGTTTTGTTTCGAGTGCATTCAGACGCGTATTGCTGTTGTTATTTGCTTCAGCTAATTTGTGAACCGCTTGTTCAATTGTTCCTTTTTCAGATGACATAATTTCACTTCGCTTATTTATTTATTTATTTTCGATCAGAAGATTGAGGTTTAGTTTGTCAGGGTCGCCATGTAACGATAAGAATGTTTTATCGTGATATCGAACTGTTTTATTTCAATCATCCTTCTCCTTTTATAGATACACTTTCTTTCTCCGGGGCGCGTCACTCAACCGGAGAGAACGAGAAGGAATACGACAAAGAGGAAGATAGAATATACATGACAAAGAGGAAGAGAGAATACACATGACAATGAGGAGAAAGTCGTTATGTACATTGCCTAGGATAGGCCGAGTGCTTATATCGGCACAGGGTCGACCGCAGGTAATCGGTGTCGAGGAACTCTAATCTGGTGTCAGATTTTCAGAATTTATGATCATCAACTTTTTTTTAGTGAAAAAAGTAGTTTTTCGAGAAAATAGTTTTCCTTGTAAAGTTTGATCAGATGCTGTCAGGCTCGAGGGAGTCGAATCGAAGGTCAGTTTTTTGAAGTTTCGCTTTCTACCTTTTTTTAGGGAGAGAAAGAGAGTTTTTGAGGAAAAAAATGACTTCGTTTAAAGTTTGCCCGAAAGTTTTTGACGCAGAGTCATTCGATTTTAAGTGTAGTTTTTCAAAAACATTTTGCCATCGTTTTGATAAACAAAGAGGGTTGCACAGACGTCCATTGCACAGAATGAACACATGAGCTTTTTGAAAAATTAAAATTAAGTGACCAGCAACTGACGATTGACTGGTATCTCGAAAGCGTTTATTAGTAGCACAACGACGTTATTAGTGGTTAGGATCCTAAACAAATAAATAAAGCTGATTGAAATAAGGTAGCGGCTGTCGCTGGATCGAATATTAAATGCTTAATAATCTTTCATAATTCAAGCTAGTTTACAAAACATTAGGAACTATTTAGATCATCTTATTTTTGTGATAGGAATTCTTTATCGGCAAACTTTTTAAGGGTATTATTCGATGTTGTTGATAGTGGTATATATATATCGTATGCTTATATTGGATTCTATTACGAATCGGCTATAGGCACCTTGCGGTGGAGTTGATTCTTAATTTGACAACGGCTATTCGTGCTTGGCGCCCCAGAGGAGCGCTGACGAGCGACTAGCTGCTCACCTGGACATGTCCTTGTTTCATTGCGTACGAAAATTTTATTATTTACACAAACATGATTTTGGAGAATGCTGCACTAAGGTCCTTTTCAACAAACAGTTGAACATAACTAAATGTCTGTATTTTGTGTATAAACACTAAGTCGTTGAAGGCTTTTTTCGAAGTCTTCAGCTTATTCTTGATATGCCAACTTTTATTGTAGCACGAAGAATTTATTCAAACTTTAAACGTAGAATTGTAGATTAGCGCATCTACGAATGTTCGCAAACTGTACAAGTACTCAGGAATCTTGTCTCATTCTTCTCTAAATGGTGAGGAATTTATCGCATATGTAGATGAAACTGGATTAAATTAATCCCACAACTGTTGTTTTCGGGTTTTTTGAAAGTTCTTTTTGTTTTCATCTAATAATTATAGAATGAGGCGAAGCTTTCAATCAATCATGCAGTGTTTAAAAGGATCACGTTCACCGCATATATACAACGAAACTAGCCGCTCAGTTAAAAATCTGTTCTGATTATAAGACTACACGCCTTGGAGAAATTATTGAATAGTTATACGTTGTCTCGATCAGAAAAGTTGAAACAATTTTCGAAAATAGGAGATATCTTGAAGTTCTTCCGAAGACAGGTCTTGAAATAATTGCTCAAGTCGTGTGAAATATTTGAAATTTATATTTGTCGTGATTATCTTAATAAGTTTAGTTTTTCCGGATTGGGAGTGGATTTGATTCAAAAGATGTAAATCTTAGATTTATCTATCTGTGAACCAGTACCCCGGAATGCATATATGCATTAGAGACACAAAACGCAGGGAAATGATATGAACCCGCATGAGTTTGAGAAAAAAAGAGGACAAACCTAACCGAAATCAAGTTAGAAAAAGTCAGTTTGATTTGATCTCTGATTTACTCGTGCAGATTCATGTTAAATATCTAGTTCATAGACCAATTTGAGTTGTAACTTTACTAAAATGGAGTATTTCGATTATAGCTCTCCTGAATGGATATTTTTCTTCACTCTGTTATCAAGCTGATCGAAAGTTTTTGGAAGCATAGCTTGAGCTGTAGCAGATCGGATGCACTTAAATTTACTATCGCCATAAAGTATTAGCAAGTAGTAATTAAATGCTGTTTTCTTGGCGATACTGCCAAGCAAGTTTTCTATTTATGCTCGGTTATCAATCGTGTTTTCCATGGAAATCATTTCGAAGCTATAAAATGTGAAGTTTCTCAGCTAGATAATTTTGGATAGCTACTCACCACATGACTAAATACTTTCAGTAGACGGTTGGCGATGCTAACGTCGCGTTATCTTGTATCTCATCGCCAATTCATCGTTTCGCTAATTGCCGAACGTAGGAATGCGAAAATATTATTTATTGGTGAATGCCACACTAGTAATTCGCCAACGACAAATATAAAATTGGCGAAATTGCATAGATTCGATGAAACAACAATAATGTAGGATATGCCAGCTTTTTACAGTTGGCAATTTTCAATGAAAAGGTTAAAACTTTTTCTAAGCCAAAATTCAACTTACCAAACTTTTGAGAACGTTATTCGATGCATTTTGATGTGCTGCTTCAAATGAGACTATTCTGAAGGAATTATATCTCACTAATCTGACTAAGTTGCCCACAATACGTGAGCATGTTTTTTGAAAATCATATATGATGCCAATTAAAGTTTATTCCAGGATAAAGCACCTTTAAAACTATCACAAGATAGCGTGTAGTCGATAGTATCTTTGGTGAAAAGAATTCAATGATAACTATTATAACTTGGGAGAAAATGAAAATATACTGAAAAGTATTGCAAAAAACATCCAATTTTGATTGAGTACCATTACTTTCAAGTGGGATATCTCGAGAACGACTTCTCCGTTTGAGTTGCAACTTTACACTTATTCCTAGCTCGGATGTAGGTATCTACTGTAAAAATATCCACTAAATCAGTTAGATCGATTGAGCAATGGTGATCGTTACTTAGGTGCGGTGACTCCTCAAACTCGTTGCAGCAGCTAGGATATAGGTCTTGGAAATATTAAGACATAGTTTTCTCTTTTTTCTTGTTGAGTTCATTCATCAGGATTATCTTCATTAGCTTCTGCCGCTTTTTTCTGATCAATAATTTATCTGCAAATAGAAAATAAATGTTGTAGGTATGGTTCGTCGTACCATGATAATTATCGCTTTGCTGCTGGTTTTTGTCGTTCTTTGGAAAGATTTCTTTTCATTTCGCACGATTATTTTATCTGGTTGTGATTTTTATGATCATTTTGATTTTGAGTCGAAAAGTTACAACAAACAGTGTGGTTTGAATTACTGGGGAAGAAGAAAGAATTTCGAAAACAAAGATGATATACGTTTTTTCCCGATTTTGAATAGCATATTAGCTCCGACAAAAGGAACAATTGTCATGATTGAGTTCGGTGCTAATATTGGGCAATTTAGTGAAACGGTGCTTAGCACTCCTCACAATATTCCATTCGTTGTGTATTCACTGGAGCCTGTGACTGCAATATTCAATGTATTAACAAATCGAACGGTCATGTTTGAAAAGCAAAAAGGTGATAAACACTTTCAATACAACATTGCTATTAGCAATCATAACGGGAAAGCACCTATATATTCTGTGAAGGATACTTTGACAGAAGGCGCTTCGCTTGGAAAAGAGCCAAAGTTTAATTTCGTGAAAGTTGGAGACGTGTTAGTTACAACGTTGCCTGATTTCATAAACGAGTATCACATAAAAACTCCAGTTTCGTTTATTAAAATAGATGTGGAAGGTTTTGAGCCAGAAGTCATAATGGGAATGAATTTAAAGACGAACAAGGATAGATTTCCGTTATTCTGTTTTGAAACGGGTGGAACGTGGAGAGATGATCGATCAGTTCTTGCTAAGACGTTCACATTGAAATCATTTGTAGCGATGCTAGATGGTCAAGGATATGATTCTTTTTTTATTGGTTATCCTTACCTATTACCTATAAATGGAGAGTATTGGGACGATTCATTTGATGACTTTACTCGTGCTTCAAATATTTTGGCAGTATTGCGTCACTCGAATCCTTGGAAAAGTCTGTTTATGAAGCTCAGAAATGTCAGTCTTAATTCTTGCAGATGGCAGTAAGTAAACAAAAGAATGGGATTCAACAAGTGAAACCGAAGATCAAATTAATAATTAACCAATACAAGTACTATGTTCACACAATCGAGCTTTCCATTCTTCCAAACAAAGATGCATTAATGAGAAATTATTTAACCAATATCGTTCGAATTTCAGTATCATACACAAAAAGTAGCATTTATATGGAACCGTTTAGGGTTTTACTAAAAATATTTAACTTTTTTAAGCCGCACGTGCTTATGACTAAAACCTCGCAAGTTGTAGATAATCCGATGATTTATTCTTGATGAAAACTGATTCTAAGGGTATGGGAGTGGGTGCTGTTTGGGAAGACAAACACACACACCCAAAATTAAACGTACTTCTTTCGAAGTTGATAATAATATATTTATTTTTGGCTGTAATCGAAAGAGAACTCCTTATACCTAAATTTTCTTTATTATTGATTAGAATTCTAGGAATTCTTTAATGATCCTATTTTATTTTTTATATAAAATTTACATTTTATATACTAATGTAGTATCAGATTCTGAAGAAGCCTGATGAGATCCTTAAGCAAGATCGAAACGTCGTATATACTGCTTTGAATCTATATATTCATTTGAGTATTTAACACACTTACACCCTCAAATAAAGATATTACTTTTGCGAAAAAATGAACTGAAATAACTATTGAAGTCTATGAAGGCAGAAACGACAAGTAATGATGAGACATTTTTCTGCTCTTAACAAAGTTAATTGTTTTTAGTTATTTCGAATAAATTATATGATCATAAATGATGTTCCATGAGGGTGTGGGTGTGGGTATAGTTATGCTTCTTAAAATAGCCATCTATCTACTCATACCAACACTCTCGGTTTTAGAACTAAAACAGATTCAGGAGCGAATCCGGGTTGCAAATTCTCGAATATGAGGCTAACTTTACCTACGCCAACTCATGGAAACAAATTCGACGTCGTTGCGTATTGAATACATTCGGATGAAAAATAGGTGACCACTCACTTCGTCGCAGAAAAATTCTTTTCGTTCTGTTCGTCCCTATCTATTTGTCGCATCTCTATTAATGAATTCTTTTTTTTGTGTATAACCAATGGAAAATTGATGAGTTAATTCCTATGTATTTTGTGCATAATATACACAACATAATGAGGAAACAGATTGAGAGAGAAAATACTCTAAAGAAAAAAGACAAGTAAAGAGAAAAAATGTTCTAAAGAGTAATGTTGGCTGCTATATTTTTTAAGAATTGATGTAGTTGAGATGAGTCGAGGGAGTTGGTCGGTTGAATTTTAATATCAATTTTTGGTTAGATAATCGGAAAACGATCGGGTTTTGGAGCATGGGAGTGTGATGTTGGTGCTGAGAGAAATATGATTAGGGATAAATTGGTATAACAACGAGCTTCATTGATAAATGATTTTTATTTCAATTAATTGATTGGTGTTCAAAACGCTCTTAGCTTTACAATCTCGATTCTGAGATCGAAGAATAAATTTCGTCGTTATTGTTTGCTTTTCAGTACAGATGTAACCTTCTTGGAGCATCATTGCTTTTTCTTTTATAGAAAACAGTTTTTTATTTGAGAGATTTTACGTGAAAAGCAGTGCGCAGTGAAAGTTGAAATTCAGAAGTGAAATGCATTTTTTTTATTTGAGTTCGTCCCATAATGAAGAATGTCGGATCAGTGATATTTTTAGTTTAGATTACACTGAAATTCATGAAGCGAGCGACAAATCTAATTAGTCTTCATTGGCTTTAGCACTGTACATAAAAATAATATTTTTTATTTATCCTTTTACCCAATTAAAATTATATTCTTAGCACAATTAATTATCTATCGTTATTGTACACATCTTGGTTATATACAAAAGAAAATAATTCATTAATAGAGATGCGACAAATAGATAGGGACGAACAGAACGAAAAGAATTTTTCTGCGACGATGTGTACTAGTGCCGAAAAATAAGTAAATGCTTCTCAAATGCTGCCCATGCCATGAGAAGTAGACTAATGTAGTATGTAATTGAATCAACAAATGTCCAAATGATACAATTTGCATAGGTTGAAGGCTGAACAATGCCGGTGTGCAAATATTGAAGAACTTGGGAAAACTCATAAGATAATTGCATCAAATTCACTATAAGTATAATGAAAATGACGTGAAACTCAGTGTTTTTTTCAAATGTTTAGGCGAAGAGAGAAAATAATAACCAACAATAAAATAAGCAATAAAATATAATATTTGACATGTTTGTAAAATGCCATAAGTAATATTTTGTATGTATCTGTGATCGCTAGATGTTTCTGTTGCAGGCATAGTGTCGTCATATTGAGAGTTGTCTCATTTGTATTTTTTGCCATTATTTGTTTCGCTTTATATCACGTGTAAAAGAAACTAACGTTGAGATAACTCTTTCTCTTGTCAAAATAAACGGGATAGTTTTTCTTTTAGTTTGAAAATAAGCGAGATAATTCCAGCTATGCGATAAATGTTAAACAAGGAGATGAAATTATTTGCACACCATGATCACAGTACGCTTGATGTAATTGTTTTTGATGTATCAATAAAGATGCTAATCATGAGTTTCAAATTTTTTCTTTGTGATGAATTCAAGCATATAATTCATCTAGTTTCACATGAATTGTTCGTGTAAAATGAACATTATAATTATCATGTCTACTTTTCAAAACCAAAACAGAGAAATCAAATTGTTTGAAACTGTAATTTTAACTCTTGAGAAACATGCCGGGCTATAATTAGCTTTTATTATAAATGATAATATTTTTTTGTTCTAACGTAAGATTTAACATGATATTTTTCTCAGGATTAAAATGATAATTATAGAATATAAATTTTTATTATTGCGTAACAATGCAAATATTTTAAATATATTTTAGATAGAAATAAAAAACAACTGAAAATGTAGATTGCACTAAAAAGATAATGTACTTCCGCTTATTGTATTACTCAACAGAGACAATGCCACTATTCCTAAGTCGAACTCGTACGGCAGGGAAACTCCGGAAATCACTGGAACGTGGAACCAGTATTCCGGTCGGAAATTTTTGGAATTTTTCCTGTGAATTCCCAGTGATTTCCTGTGCTTTCAGACAGGAACCGATTGGAAAATCACCGGAAGACAACCGGAAATTTTCCGGCCGGAATACTGCTCCCGATTTCCACAATTTTCAGTGTTTTCCTGCAGGATACGGTGTTTTTTTCCCCGCATTTTCCAGCCGGTTCCTGCAATATCCGTTCTCCGGAATCATTGATCTGAGTTGTAGTGGTAACGTTGTTTCACAAGATTTTTCCAAAGGCGAGCCACTTCAAAAGCTTGATCAGCCCAATCTAACATATCCTTCAAGCGTACACTGCTATTATTAATTGCATTAGACTTTTCTATTGACAGAAAAGTTTTATTTTCCAATAGAAGGTTATGTTGAGTATCTGTATTCACTTTTTCATTTTGCCAAAGTCCTTTCCATTTTTTTATTCTACTTTTGTCACAGAGTATATCAACCCATGGTGGATGTGAAGCTGCAATTGCATCATCGAGCACGATTAAATCAACTAATTCCAAAGGATCATATCCTAGATGATACAAATGTACTTGATCATTTGCAACATCATAGGTGAGTTTTCTTGGATATTGTTTTACAATAATATAAGAATTACCGGGATTAGACAACTGGAATGTGTGCCGAGCGGGTTGTTGTGCAATTGGCATGCGTAGAACTGATGTTCCTTCGTATCGAGATAATATTGATTGTAATTTACCACTTGGTACAGACAATAGTTGATTGGTGGGGTGTTCAGCAGATTTGATTGAAGATAATAGTACATCTATGATAGTTGGCAAAATATCCATGGTGGTAAATTGACCATTGAGTTGTTTAGCTTCGAGATGTGGATTGTGTAATATTAAGGGAACTGACAATGCAGACTCCAAAGGCGTACTCAGTAACCCAAGTGTTTCTCTTCCATGATCGTTAAATACATAGCCGTGATCACTCGTGATAACGAAAAGGGTATCGTCGTATAAATGACGTGATACAAAACCATCGATAATTTCTTTTATAAATTTATCAGTAATATGTAAGGCATTGAGATAATTGTTGATGTGGCTCTCATCAATATAATAATAATATTCATCCTGTCGCTGATTATGCGGCATAGGAAAAGGTTCATGCGTTCCAGTGATTAATAAACTCGTCATTAAATGTTTTGTTGGTTGTTCTGCTAAATTTTGATCAATCCATTTCCACAAGAGAGGTAAGATATGTGGATCAGCAGGTCCAAACATACCAAGATCGGATATATATCCTATCTCATGATAAATATTCGAAGCACTCCTTACAGTATCGAATTTCATCTTGTCAATTATTTCACGCTGATGATCAAAATCATCACGTGCTGCCGTAAAAAAGGCTGAACTAAAAGCTGGCTCATTGTTATTCGTTAGAAAAATTTCGCGGAGTAGTTCTGGTAAACATTTTTCATATAATATATTCTCGGGATTTGCTTCTTTGAGAAAATTAACATTGATTGGATAGATACCACAAAAAATACTGAGAAGACTTTTTAATGTATACGATGACGCAACTGATGCAATTGTATGTACAGAATTCGTCCACAAAGAGCTGAGCAGTGGTGTGACAGTTTCCGCAGTTGTATTGAACGTGAAATTCAAGTTGACAGCGTTGGCAAGACTCTCATTTAATGGCACAGCATCGGCTCGAATAGATTCTAGAACTATGATAAAAACATGTTTAATCGGCCGTTTCAAAGTAGCTGATGGACGAGAAATGTCAGCAGCTGGTGCACGGATCAGTTGAGCTACACGATTCAACACAGCTTGTTCCATTTGAATCGGTACCAAAAATATTTTTCTCCAATAATATGTGACTAATTTAGAAAAATATATCAATACCATATTTGATGATAGATTTGTATATTGCTCTGGTAGGCGAAAGAACAGAATAGTCAGTAGATACGTAAAAATAAGACAAGTAGCAAGTATTTTTACAGTTTTGAGATGACCATTTCGTTGATGTTTATGTGCCTGACTTTGACGAAGAACAATCATCCATAATGTTATGCCGAGGAAAATGAACGAGACCAAGAGAGATAAAAACGAGGAAATATGTGATAAATACAAACTGTATGTTGTTGCCAAATTCACCTCAAAGACGATATTCCAATCCAGATTTCGACCTAGGATTATTTTTAGATAAAATCATTTAATTCATTTTTATTGATACTTCAAGAACCATAATCAAATAAACTAACCCCCACCCCCACACATACACATAGAATAGAAGCCCAGTTCTGGGTTTACAATTTTAAGGACATATTAAAAGCCCACCCTGTCTTAAATAAACACAAAACGGGGAATTTAACATATTGAATGGACTACTTTATTGCTTATCCCTGTTTCGCTGTAACTCAATTTATATGCTTCATTTACTTTATTTCGTATGCATTCTAATATTAACAGATACATGAGCCTCTATCGAGAATTGAGAAATATGAGGCATACATATTAATAAATTCTAGCTGTCTAAGAAGTATGGGAGATAAATTTGAGGACAACAATGTCATCCTGTTAAATTTCTTCTTCTTATGAAATTAGGAAGAGTACGAAAGCCGAATGATTAAAATTTTTCTAACTTGACAACATTGTGAGCATATCTCTTTCAATGAAGATAATACTTCTCGAAATGTTGAGCTATGATCGATATCAGTCACGCGAGAGTTCATAAGACTCAAAAAAAGATGCCAATGAATGATGGTGCGGTATCGATTATTATAGCACTTATAAGATCTCGAGTATCTCTGTTTTTAGAAATGAGAGATCTTTATTCTATTGTCAACGGTTTAGTTCTATATTCTTATCTGTTTCGGTAGTTAAAATATGCCGCATTTCATATTTCATATTTGAAGTATGCATAAGCGCTCATGATGAAGTCGTTTGGTAGCACTATATTCGTATATGTCTAATAGAAAGGTTTTCGACTTTTTAAAGCTTGACAATGTCCTAAATCAATACGTCATGCTAACGGCAGTTTTCGTATTATATAAAGTCCCATTAAATGTTGAAGTAGATGAGCGCTTTAATGTAAATACTATTGTAAATCACGCATGACTTTCTTGGTTTGATAGTAGTGAACCGACAAAGAGGTCCTTGCCAATTTATAGTCTCTAGGAAACCATGGCAGTTCTTTTGAAAACTTTTAGACAATTTAAACATTCCGCGTTTAATTTCTGAGCGTTTCTGTGCTTGTAAGCTGATAAAATCCTAGCTGCAATATAGAAAAAGTTGATCGCAATAGAAGCCCACGTCTAGATTTATAATTTTCAAAACAAAATAGAAGCCCAGTGGGCTTTTATTCTGTGGGGGGTTTACTTAAAATATGTTTGTTGGAGCAGAAGTAATTATTGTATAATTTTCTTCTCTTACAGTTCTGGCTCTTTCAACACTTGGTACAGTCACTGCATCAGGTTTCTACAGTGCTGCCGGTTCAGCAAGTGTGCAAGGTGATTATGTTACTGACCGTGCTCAAGGCGGAGGCTTCAACGCCGGTGGAATTGCTCCTCAGTGGATTGAAATCGACCTTCCGAGCGCATACAGTATATATAGTGTGTGCTTGAGTGTTGGCCAAAATCCTAATGGCGCTACACTGCACGAAATCTATATGGGTACTTCGTCAACCACTTTATCACTAGTTACTACCTGGAATAGCTACACATCATCCGGTGAATGGCTCAAAACTACATATAATCCAATGGTAACCGGGATAACTGCTATTCGCGTCAGCACTGTCTCCAGTCCATCGTGGGTGGCCTGGAATAAGTTTCTCATTTATGGAGTCTGACAATATCTGCATACTAGACCTTTCAGATGCTACCCACTATTGGATTTAGCATGTACACCAAAGCTTAGCACTAATATCGCTGTCTATGTTTCTAACACATTTTTAAATTTAGCTGAACATTTTTGAAGCAAAAATAAGTTGTAACTGTTCAGTATCACTAGCACTAGAAATATATAACAGAGATCTCAAGTGAAGAAAACAGCATTGATATCATGATCTTTTCTGATAAGATATTCATCTCTAGAAAGGTTGGTATTCATGTAACGAGGTTGGATAAAAACTAATTGTACTAGTTATAGTTGTTATTGCATCTGATACTTCTGGTCGCTTCGAGCAGAGGGTGTGAGCGTGGATGTCATCGGGTATTGCCACTGACACTCGCATCCGCACCCTCAAGATGCCAATGTTCTCTCTCAATGTGTTTGCAGCCAATCGATTGTATATTCTTTTTGCTCCCCTATCAATTATTATTATTAGCATTATACAAATTATAATAGCTGCACGTTTTAAGTACAATAGGATCTATTCTAAGATATGAAATATTTACAAAGCAGATTTGATGGTACGATAAAATAAAAGTATGACGGAAACAAAACACCAAGAAAACGTTTTATTGATATGTTATATTTCTGTGTTCAAAAACTAAATCAACGAGTCATTTTCAACGCTGCTCCGCGATGAGATTAGACTACTATTGTAAACTTTATTATAACCGTCTTTTAACTATTTTCAATGTTAAAACACGAAGAAAGAGCACAAGAGAGTTACATCTAGCTGAAATAGCAGTCAGTTATCGAGTCTATGAATTTGAAGATCTATCATCGATGTTCCTTTCTTTTCTCATTCGCAACACGCTTATCAATACGAGACAGAATAATAGCGATTGGATTAAAAGAATACTTAAAAAATACACCTGTGGTGAAGAAAACAATTTCATCCTTAAAGAATATTGTTCTGTAATGAAAGAGAAAGCCAATTATACTATTCAAATTTTCGATTAGACGCATTCTTTATGCAGTCGTGCATTATAAAATAAAAATTTTCCAATAAGATTCAATAGACAGGGTTCCTAGGAGAGAAAGAAAAATACATTTTCATCTAGCTTAAAATAATACTGATTTAAACTCCAATGTCGAAACAATAGTGCATTTGTAAGTAGATCAATAAATTTTGAAAAAATATATTCATGAGAAAAATCGTAAAAAAGGACATTTTAATTTATTAGATCCTTGACGTACAAGCACAGACTTTCAAATTTAGTAGGCATGAAAATATTCAAATCGATCCATGTATCCGTTGGGATGAAAACAAAACGGAATTTTCAGGTATGATTATTACAAAATGATTTATACTCAATAAATCCATACGGCCGATCAAACTTATTTTTTGCAGGTCAAATCTACTATCAATAATGATATAGACGTTCATAGAACGGACTTCTCAAAAACAAAACAAAATCATTCAACTAATCCTCATTCTTTGCCATCTACAGATGTATCGTCAGCGAGTAATCAAAAGCAATCGAACCTCTCGTCCAGACTTTCGTCTGCACGAGCACGTACTGCATCACCAACACCCAAGATCACCAGATCATCAACACAAGAGCGTTTCAAGTAAGTAAAACATGATCAGATCCCACTCTGTGTTTACTGCTGTTACACGTGCATTTCGAGCTTTAAGAGCTAGAACGTTCTACAATAGGAGGATATTAAGTTATATGCTTTTCGCTTAAAAGAATTTAGTTCATCACAAATGAAACAAGACATTCGAGAGACTTTCGTTCATAATAAACGATTTAATGTGATGATGTTCATGTTGCATTTTCTTTACTATAGAATATCTAGACGGAAACTATGGCTGATCTATTTTTCAATTATAATTGCAATGTCCCTGTTGCTTGGATTGGCAGTTGACATTTATGCACTCATTCAAAAGATTAATAACGGAACAGGCAAGGCTCCTGTGATTTTAAGTTTTCAAATCTCGGGAAACAATTCTTTTCACGTTACCGATTCACCAATTTTGTTTCTGCTAATTTCCCTTTTTGCGATAGGCTGTACTATAGACGCATTGTGAATTATTATCTGAACTTGACTTCAGACATGTTTTTGTATCTTTGTTATTCCTATTCTCGACAAAAGCAGAATACTAGCAAATATAGGATTGAAAATTTTCTACGGTTCACTCAGTGTGTATTGATTTACATCATTTCTGTTAGAGCATTTTTGATTTTCAAGATCGCATTATTTGAAAATTTTCACCTGTTGATTTTCTGCTTGTCAATGAATCTAAACATTTATCAGCTCAATTACCTGACCGATATCGAACAATTTCTACATATGTAAATTGTTTGTAGTATTTTGATTTGAGAGAATTCGATAGCTCGAAAGTTGACTGTCTACTTAATTATATCCATAACTTATGTAACGGTTTCAAAAATAGTTCCCGGATCCACGTCAACAACAACAGCATTGACTACGACATCAATAATAACTACAACACCAATACCAGGCAAGTATTGCTATCTCTCATCAAACCAGAATTCCAACGGTGAATTTCTTCCTTTCGTAATAATATTTTACATAGAAGAGACTTTAACCCATCGGGTTATCTTCCTCGAATCGTACATAAACGTTTTAATGCACTAAAATCTACTCATACTCATTCAAGTTGGCAATTCCGGAATTTCTATAAAGCAAAGTCCCGAAAAAACAATCGATGTTCAACGAGATAAATTGAAAACGTGAAGAGCATCGTTTTTAGTTGAATTCATTTTTGATCAGAAGGATCCCTGTGGTTCCTTCAGGAACAAGTGACGCGTGTTTGTTTTTCATGAAATAAGTTGAGTATGTATATGTTTTCAGGATTAACACTTACTGGAAATATGAGCTATGGCCTGTATGAGAGGACAGCATCTTTACTTACCAGTGGAAAAGTTTTAATCGCAGGCGGATCCAATGGCAGTCCACTAAAAACTGCTGAACTGTACGATCCATCAACAGGAACATGGGCATTGACTGGAAGTATGGTTTATAATCGATATTATCATAAAGCATGTTTATTAGCCAATGGGAAAGTTTTAGTGCCAGGTGGATGGAATGGCGTTCATATATTTACTACTGAATTATATGATCCATCAACAGGAACGTGGTCATTCACTGGAAATTTGACTTACGGCCGGTACTATAATACAGCATCTTTGTTACCAAACGGAAAAGTTTTAGTTGCAGGTGGATCTAATGGCGGTGCACTAAATGCTGCTGAATTATATGATCCATCGACGGGAACATGGACACTGACTGGAAATATGATTTCTTCTCGGTACTTTCACACAGCAACTGTGCTTCAAACTGGCAAAGTGCTAGTGGCAGGTGGATCCAATGGTGGTTATTTAAATACTGCTGAACTATACGATCCATCAACAGGGTTATGGACACTTACTGGAAGTATGAGCTACAGCCGATATGAGCACATAGCATCCTTGTTAGCCAACGGAAAAGTTTTAGTCGCAGGCGGATTTAATGGCGCCTCATTGCCTACTGCTGAATTATATGACCCATCAATAGGAACATGGACACTAACCGGAAGCATGAGCTATTCACGCTTTTTTCACACGGCATCTGTATTAGCCAATGGAAAAGTGTTTGTTGCAGGTGGATCTAATGGCGTCGATTTAAATACAGCTGAACTGTATGATCCATCGACAGGATCATGGACACTCACTAGCAATATGAGTCATACTCGATCTTATCTTGCATCATCTTTATTAACTGACGGAAGGGTGTTGATTGCATGTGGAAATCTTGGAAGTAGCTCTTCAGAGTTGTACCAACCATAGAAAATAAATCAAGAATCAATTTTTCTATGAGAACTATTTACCAATAGAATTACTTTAATTAGTTACTGATTGCATGTCTTTCTTTTCATCAATCATGAAACAATTCTATCTAACAATATGTTTCCTCGTAACCATGTAATTAAATCTTTCATTTCTATTCAACACAATTCTTTACGGTGTGAGTGTGAGTGTGGGTGTGGGCTTGATTTTTCTCCTTCATACACCCATACCCTAACGAATGAGACAGAAGTATGATTATTAACAAGTTGTTAATAAGTTTTGAATAAATAATAATAATTACAATCGTGAAAAATATTCTCGAACATTTGAATTTATTTACTTCTAATTACTCAATATAGCATCTTGACATTATCTACATCTAAATTTTGTAAAATACAATCAATAATTAGAGCATATGCTGAAATAAAGATCACAGAAAGAGATAAAAGTAGCGATAGATATTCTTTCGAAAGACATCCAATCCAATTCATGAACATAATACTAATTTGAACATTTAGAATGAAGCCAATAACTATACAGATTTGCATTGTTGGTGGTGATAATGGTGATAATATCCATAGAAGAAGTAGATTGTCATGAACAAAATCATCATCGCCCAAGCCTATGTAACCTTGAGTCTCATCTATTTCATCTTCAATGTCATGAGTATAATAACAAAAAGTCGAAAATTTTTAAAATATCGACACTCTATAATTCATAGAAGTATTTTTCGTCATATTACAGAATCGACCATGAATGTGCAAACATTGGAAACTATATAAAAAAAAAGACAAATATTTAACAATATATACTCGCAGAAATGAAATCTGCATTTCCACTATAAGCATGAGAAACAAATATTTTAAGATCCCGTTTCCTCAATTACATGAAAAGGCTATGGTAAAATTTTCAGTCCCATACGAATTCAATGATTTCAAAAGAAAAGATCCTTGGCTATTACCTATTAATATCCCAATTCTTACTATTTCTATCGAAATATATTGATAGTTACTTACATATCATCAAAAGAATGAAAACATGTTAGAACAAAATGAATTAAAGGATAATAACGAAGTAAGATTTCCTAAAACGTGAATGCTTTAATAGCCATTAATATACATATTGATGCTTGATAAAGAATTAGAAAAGCGCGATAACAGTGTATGAGAAACCCATTGAAATATAAGATAGCTGAATTGTCATGCACGAAAACAAACAGTAAATATATCTATTGAATACCAGCAATGAAAAATAATGCACCATCGAGCGAACAATCATGCATTAGATATCACTAATAATCCTAATGCTAATCGGGATATTATTTTAGAACCATAATACCGTATCGGTGCTATGAAGAAAAAACAGCAATACGCCAAGAGTGACATACTGCAGTTGTCATCTCTACCTTGCGGAATTAAATCGGATATAGTAAAGAAAATTTTATTTTGCAAAACTACATAGCTCGTTCATTCATAAAGGAGACCAAGAATAAGTGAATGTAATGGTAATTATCAACAACGAAATATTGAAAGAGCGAATTGTTAGCTTGTTTCTGATTTAAGACGGTCTGCAATGTAAATGTGATCAATAAGCTGAAACTAATTACAGATTCTTATAATTTTTGTAATCATTTCAGAAGTTAATAATTTACGGTAAGATGATTTGTATTTGCTGATATTCTTCACATAACTGTAACACGCTTTCAATGGAAGAGAAGAAGTTAGTTAGGCATCATTCTGTTCTATGGATGGCCATAGCCGATGAACGTATCTTGATGTCATTGTATTGTAGTGCTATTCCTTTGTGTAAAATACTTCTTACGCAAAAAATTAATTTATAGTTGGATATACATTCTGATTTACTAGCTATATCTTCATCATTACTTTAAAAAAAATATTTCAATGCGTGGCAATAAAAATCTATTGTTGTCCCTAATTTTTTCTAGGGTTAACCATTGAGATCCCTCGCTTCTATGGCACTCCATCTATGGCCAGAGTACATATTAGACTTAGTATAAAAGTTCCTTTTGCTTGACAGCCATGCCAGTTTTTCAGTAGATTACTGTATAAAAATCGAAGGTTTCTACCGAGTACCTTGGATAGTGTGAAATATAGCCAAGAAGAAACTTTTTGAAAGCATAATCAACTAAAATCTTTGGAAAAGATTGTTTTTCTTTTTACTCTGACTTAGAAACTTCTGCCAATCAGAAGATACATGCTACTCGTTCAAGCAGTCAGAAATAAATTATTAATGGACTACAACAATCACTATGTGTTTTTTAACAGTTAATATAATTTTGACTTTAGCATAGTTATAATGAATGAAAAAATAACTGCATTAAAATGCTCAAATTCGTACACGGCAAAACACTTTATTCTAATGAAGGCACATCATTGACTGCATTTGTTGTTGATGTATAAACATTCAGAATGTTTCCCTTGTTGGTATTTCCTAGAATCCGCTTAAATTTTTCTTAAGTTGATCAGTGCTCTTCGAAACTTCAGTCACGTTATCGTGCGCGAAAGAATTCAGTTTTCATTTGCTAAAGTTTCTATTCATATTCGTCTACATATCAAATGTAGACGTGATTTTATTTCGGTGGCACTGAAAATCTCTCCGTTTTGTGTTCTAATAATTGACAACGATACAAAATAGAATATTCCAATAGTTTTAACATTCTTAAATTTTATATCAATGAATTGGTCAAAATGAGTCATTTTCTTTTCAAGCCTTTCATTTCTGTAACTAGCAGTACCATGGCACGGAACGATATTGATCAATAAAAAAAGAAGCTTTTCCCTTTTTCTTTTATTTAATGAACGAAAGCTTTAGCAGAAAGACTTGAACATGAAGAAATCGTTGCTGACCGAGGAATTTGTGGCGTTGGAAATGGTAAACCATACAGAGCGAATCTAGTACGTGCTCGACCACCATCATTCCGACGTCTTGCAAATGGATATGATATAGACGACGGTGTAAAATTATGAAATGCTCGTATAGTTTTTGTTACTCTTCGTTTGATAATAGATGGCGATCGACGTATTATTCGATGTAATAATTTTTGATCTTGAGTTAGTCTACTTTGCCGTTCGTTTCCGTAAAAAAGACGACGATAGTTAGGCGATGGTGTTGGTGTACTAATTAAATTTTCATAAGGATCATAACGATGTTTTCTCTCGTGTTCTTTTGCTATAGTGTATACACGATAGAAATGAAAGGAAATCATAAGAATATTTTTTGAAACAAAAAGTATTATTGATGGTTTACTACATCGAACTTTAGTAGCTAATAATAGTCGATAAATGAGCAAGAGACCATCGTGAACAAATATAGACTAGTAAAAGAAATAAAAAATAAACGAATATTATCTTAGATAATTTTTGTTTAATACAATGACTCACTCGAAAAAGAGGAAATACAAGTTGACGTTTAAAAAAACTCAATGGACTTGATAATTTTCTCGATTGATAATAGAATTGATCTTCATTCGAAGATGATATTAATCCATCAGTATCAATAAATGCCATTTCAAATAGACCAATCGTAAGAAGAAAAAGACCAATATACATCCAAACGCGTTCGATGATAACATCATGATATTGTAATGAATGTGAAACAGATAATAGATCAGCTACATTAATGAGAGTAACAACTAAAACAATTCCACTTTTTTCTACTGTCATATATTGATGACTTATAAGGAAACGACTTATTGATAAAACAACAAACAATGTTTCTTGCATAATATCCAGCCAATTTTGCTCTTCCATATAGTACCACGCCTAAATGGAAATAAAATGAAAGTTTCTTATTTTTACATTTTTATATTACTTTATCGTCGCATTCAATATGTCGAATAGAAAGAATAAGTGGTGTAGTAGTTGGTAATACGCGTTGGATCAGTGGTGATATCGATGAAATAAATGTACTCTTCGAAAGATCACTTCCTTGTCGACTCTGAATCAATGGTGCAGTTGGCCGAACATTCAGTTTCGTTTCAGCAAGACGAAATAATTTTCTATTAGCTGTTTCAACATGAATTATCCAAATCGACGGTGTTGAACATGTCAAATAGAAGATGATACAAAAAGCAACACTGAAAGTATTCGAAAGAAAATTATAGATCTTTTTGTTTGCTTTTAAATTTGTTCACACTTTTTAAACTCCCGTCCATTTCGTAGCCAAAGAACAACGACAGTTTCGACAAGTAAAAATCCAAGGCCAACAACTATCACCCAACAATATTGATTATCATTGGTTTCAACAACACGCCATGTACAAAATAATCCATGAGCTATCAGCAGCACTCGCACCAAGAGCGACTTGACAATGGTCAGGCCGTGCATTCATTCGGCCATTATCTATCTTATTTGTTTTCTATGACAATGTCTTTTGAAATGAACGAAAATAAAAAATACAACGCAAAAAAGTAACAAGAATGAAATAGTTTCGTCGACGAATAATTAATACCGACTAAGCCTTACTTTTATCTTTCCGTTGGAGGTTGGACCAATACATTGAATAGTATGTTATTCTATTCATTGATCAATGTTGGTATGTTCTTATTATTTTCTTCCTTAGATCAACATTTATTGCATTAAAAACACGATCATCGTGTTCACATCATCAGTTTAAAATTTTCATGAAATATATTTCATCACAAAACGACTTGGTTAAATTTTAATGATTATGCATACATACATACATAGTTCAGGTATGTAAATAGATAAGAACAAAAAACAAAGAAAAAGAAAAAATGTTTTCTGGATTTGTTTATTTTGCCTTGATTTATCGTATAATAAAAGAAAATACTTTATAGTATAATAATTGTCACGTTTGTTTTTCTCCCGTTTGAATATCTATTTGTAAATCATTTTTATATTAGTTTAAATGAACTGTAACTTTTGTATTTTTATTGATAACTACTATTTGTGTGAGTTTATGTTTTGTTATGATAACAACGTTAACTATTTCCAGAAAGAACAGAATTGATTAAGAAAAGTACAGATAAAAGAAGAAATAATTTCTTCTTATTTGAGAAAATTTAGAATATAAATACGCGTATTTGAATTAAAGTTTAACAACTTGTTTTCTCTTCAATGATAAATCAACCATTCGAATTGATACATTGGATTTCTGTGATACTCTATTCGACGGTGGTTCCGATTCAAATACGCTATCACTTTCATATGTATCATTTGACATACCTAAATCAGAGAATAAATCATCATTATCAGTATCAGTATCTAAATCGTCCAGTGTTTTTAAATAATGGGCCACTTTTTGCGCACTAAATTGTGTTGCTACATGAAGAGGAGTATAATCATTCGGATCACGAGCATATGGATCAGCGCCATGTTGTATTAAGTAATGAACAAGTTCATAATCATCAGCTGGCCCACATGCCAAATGTAATGGTGTCCAACCATGTTTGTCTCTTCCTTTTAAACTGACATTTTTTTCTACAAGATATTTAGCAAGTGCAGCATCACCATTGTCACATGCAATATGTAGCAATGAACGATTATCACCATCGAGCATATGTATATTAGCGCCATTAGCTAAAAGTACTTCGAGAATATCTATAAGAAAACAAAAAACAAACCTTGAAAATACAATTGAAAAAATGAGTAGAAAATAACAAATAATAACCTCGTCTTTTTGATTTAACAGCATCGTGAAGTAATGTCCAACCTGAGTTATCTCTTCGATTAACGTCTGCATGCTTTTTAATTAATAAATTCATTTTTTCTAAACAATCAATACCACAACCAACAACAAACATCATTGGTGTTGCGCCATTTTTATCTTCTACATCCGGTTCGCTTATATAATCCATTAGTGTTTCGAGCATTTCCGAACTTTCTGCCCATGCTGCAAAATGTAATGGTGTTCGTCGAGAATAATCAACTGGCTGTCGAAGATAATCTTCAACATCTCGATGATTCAATTGAGTAAGTATGTTTCGTAGATTTTCGATACGATTATCATCGATTGCTTCCATTATTTTACTACATTTATCAATATCTCGCACTTTACCTGGCATTAAACAATAATAGGCGTTGGAGACCAGTTCACGTGCTCGTTTAAATAGCATTCAGCTCACTGGTAGGATGTGTGCTGTACGCCAAAAAAGATAAAAAAAGTAAATAAAAAAATAAGAAAATGAGAGCGAATAACGAAATGCTATGCTTCAATGATTTCCCAATACTTGCACACAAATATACATAGAGAGACTACGACAGAAAAAATAAATAAATAAGAAAAAAATGCATATTAATGTGCCATCGTGGGTCTCACCTTCGTTTCTCCTCTTACCTTTCGTCATTCGATGCATAGACAACAATCTAACATTGATTGATTTTAAAAGAGAAACATATCTCTATATTATCACTCATAAAATTATTAATATTTTTTTCTACCCTTTTAATGTAACATGTGTCTAAAACAAGTAATGTTGGCAATAACAAATACCCCTGATATACTTCGTATATAATACCAGCAAGTGTATGAAATAACATTTCAAATTATATATCAATCTGAATGGTTCAAAAAATAATTTTTGCATTGTGCTATTGGATAATTCTAAAGTTAGCATCGATGAAATTCGAACTATTAAAATAAAATTCTTATACATAAACTATAGCTCATGTTCCATGAACATTGTCATACGTATAATTGATGCTATAGCCAATGGTTTACGTAGGTTAGCTAGAACAGATCTGTTCAATATCAAGTATACGTAAAATTAAAGTTGCCGAATGTTTTGAAGTGTGCCTCCTCTTGGCATTTGACAACTACTCAACAAATAATACTAAGTTCATCGAGTTTCTACGATAGTTTGTTGAGAAAAATATTGTTTTATATTCGGCTTTATTCCAGAACAATAGCAGAAAGTCAGACATGTTTTGAATTTTTCTCGCAGTATAAATAATCGATATCATTTTTATCATTTCAAGTATATTCTTTGATGACTAATTATATTTTCTTTTCGTCGTCTCAATTTTGTTTGACATTGTTTGAAGAATACAAAGTTTTTCAACAAATATTTTCTTTTGACATCAGAACGTCATTTTGTGTCAAAAGAAGAACATCGACAACAACGGTCCAGTAATGGTGATAGTCTTCTTTGCTAATTGGTTGTTGATGCAGATTATGTTTAAAACAATAACTAGTATGACATATTCATGCTCATCGAATTCAACATGTGGTTGTTCATTAGATTCAGCTATTGTAACGAAAATAATTGGTGGTGAAGAGGCTATGAAGAATAGTTGGGGTTGGGCGGTTTCTATACGGATACACAATAATCATATATGTGGTGGATCATTGATATCATCTGAATTAGTTTTAACAGCTGCACATTGTATTGTTTTAGTAAAGACAATATCAAGTCTTAGTGTTACGGCTGGTTCAAAATATTTGTCAATGATAAATCAACAACGATCGGTTTCACAAGCTTTTATTCCTTTTAATTATGACTCAACGACCTATACGAATGATATAGCTATCATTCTTTTATCATCACCATTCGATATGAATGATCGTTCGTTGGCATTTATTTGTCTACCACCATCAATAGAAAATTATCCACCGGATGATATGACAGTTATTGCTATTGGTTGGGGTGTTTTGTCAACAACAGAAAAAACTTCATCAGATACTCTTCAACAAGTAACCTTGAAAACTATTTCGAATGGAATATCAGCTTGTCACATATCCGTTTATAATGAAAATGTTCAAATTTGTGCTGGTGTTCAAGGCGGTGGAAAAGGCATGAAAAAGGAAAAAATATTGATTTTTATATTAGATAACATTTGTTGTTTTCAATTAGATACATGCCGTGGTGACAGTGGAGGTCCGTTGATGATGTTTTCTAATCAACGCTGGTATATCGTTGGTATTACAAGTTATGGTAATGGATGTGCGTCACCTTATTACCCGGGCATTTATACACGAGCATCAGTCTACAGAAAAGATATAGGTTGTTTTTTAAAAAATGAAACATCCTGTATAAAAAAAAAATTTCTTGTTAGAAACTCGGTTTCATCTTGTTCTATGAATTATCTATTAATTAGCTTATTCTTCATTCTAATCAAGATTATAAACTACCAATGATTTATTTTTATAATTATCAATTTATCCTTCTAAATATAATCAATAATACAAGGCTAAATAATCTCTTGACTGCATGTTATAATCTGTTTCGAGATCGAAACTCAACGAATAACTAATTAAGTGCGAATGCGTATGCAGAGTGATATGAGCCTATCATCAATTCGATTTCTAACACTGAAATGATTGAACTTTTATTATGTTGGATTCTAGCTATGAAAAAGAAATGAATTAATAGTATAAACAATACGATTATTTCAGTTATACATATATGAGTTTCAATGAGTATCTCTTTTTTTTCTTCTGTCATATATTCTCGTTATTGAATTGATGACCAGTCAAACGCCACTTTCATTCTTGGATATAAATATTATCATAAATATATAAGCTATAGATTTAGAACTAAACTATTTTAAATATCGTTTATATGATGAATTGAATTATTTTTACTCAGTTAAATGAATGAGAAGTACTTGTTAGTGATTGCGTTAAGTTTCATTCCTATTTAAAAATATTTAAAAACCTGTGACACAATTCAAAAGTTTTTGAAGTAAAAATGATGCCATCGTCAATATGAAATATGCCGTTTTGGTAAATATTTACAATGCAAACGAATGCATGTATTACATGTAAATAGATACAATCGAATTCTACTCTAATAATGTGGAAAGGAATGTGGACTTTTATTTTACTGAAGGCGACTAAGATGTAAACGTGTGCTCAACAAGCACAATTATTTTCATCCGATCATTTATCTTTTCGTTCGTGATATTATCACTTACTTCGCTGTATCGAGGAAAAATGAAGCTGTAATGATCAAAATCAGGGGAAAACGTTAATGAGTTTATTTTTAAAAAAAAATTCTTTTCAATGAGAATATATTCTTGAAAACTCAAATGAGACCTTTTCACGATAGCGACATCTATGGGAAAAGTAAATTGTAAACTAAATAATCATATAGGAAGTCGTCTTTGATGATCTGACATCAGAGAGTTCCAACTCTTGTATCATCTTACATGTTGACAGAGGCATTCTAATATTCATGTAATATTATATGATCGGATCAGAACCTTGCCTAGAGGTATTATTCTAGAAAAAATTAGTCAGTGAACCGTACATTCATTAATGGAAGTAGCCAACAGAAGATATCTTTATCTAATACTAGGTTACATTACATGCATGAGGAACTTCTTCGATGATGAAAACAAGAAAGTATTTTTACACATAAAAGAATCAGTATTTTAAATCACCTTTCCGGTATTCAATTCTGAGACAGAAAGTTTGTACTCAACTGACCTGATTAAATAAATTTAAACATTGCCTATTTGTTTTTTGATTTCAATTGGAAGACAATACACCGATGTAAAAAACATAAGCTCCTGTAAATAATGCAAAAAAAATGATTTCTTGTCACTCTCATCAGCTTCATTTTCGCTAACACTTGCCTATTGAATCATTTTATTTAAAAATTAGAAATCTTAACATGATCATACACTAAAACATTTTAATAATAACCTGTATTCGATAAATGACTAATGATTTTGCCTTCTAGCTTTGTAATTATTATCATTGGATTAGTAAATAAAATTGATTTATCGATTGAAATTCGAATGAGTATTTATTATTTATACATTTCCGATTGCAAAAATAAGAATCGTATATACAAATTAGATTTAGAATGCAATCCCTGTGAAGAAAATAGGTGTATTAAATTTGTTTTTACTAAAAATTGAAAGACCAAGCACATTTAATATCGATTGATAATAGAATAAATTAGTAAAATAATTGGTATTGAAATCCTATTGAGAATAAACGACATATGCTTAGCACTATTAACAGTTTTATTTATCCATGATTGAAAAGCTGCAACTCGTGTATAAATTCCAGGAAGATTTCGCTGTGCACATCCAATACCATTTGAAGTTATTCCGACTTGTTCCCAAACATTATTCGAAGTAAACATTAATAATGGACCTCCACTATCGCCTTGACAAGTATCTATTAGAAAACAAAAATAATCACAAGACATACATAAACATTTCTAGAAACTTACCTTTACCACCTTGAGGCATTATTCCAGCACACATTTGTGTATATGAATCAACACTACGTACAAATCGGCAGTAAGTACTAGTTGCAGCTACTGATTTGATTGTTACTTGTTGAAGTATAGAAGACACTTGATTACTTCCTAGTACTGTATAGCCCCAACCAATAGCAATAAGCTACAAAGAAAAACAGGTATAAATTTCAGTTGACAACATAAGTAATCGTATTTATTTTGTTTCATATTACATCAGTATCAGGTGGTGGGTACTCTTCACTAGCAAGTACAATCGATGATACATTTGGTAAACAAACAATATCAACGCCAACTTGATCAAAATTCACTAAAGACGATAATTTAAGGATAGATATATCATTGACATAATTAGTTGAAGAATAATTCGGATGAATATAGATTTTTGAAACAGAATGTACTTGAGCTGGTCCATATAAATATATGGATCCTACATAGACAAGAATGGAAGCAGCCGATGCTAATCGTATAGTGCAATGAGCAGCAGTAAGAATATGTGATCGAGATATAATTGAGCCACCACAAAAATGTGAACCACTGGATGAATAACGTAGAGATGCAGCCCACCCCCATGTTTGATCGGCAGCTGGTTCTCCTCCGATAATTTTTGTTAGCAACGTTGGACTAGCTGAACATCCACACGGACTAGTTAATGAACAATTGTATAGTGTTTGACTCGATACATGTTTTAAAATGATTTCAAGTAAGAGAAAAACTATGCACAATTCAAGTAGTCTAGTCATCATACAATGCAACAGTTAAAAAACTATCACTGAGACAGAGTAAACAGAAAAGAAAAAAAACATGAGAAACTGTAAAAATAGAAATGTTGTTATGTCAACGTGAAGCTGCTCAACTTATGTTTTTGCCTATTCTATTTTCTTGTGTTAGTCATTAACTATTTTTTTTTCTGTTTTCCACTTTTTAGAAGAAAAAAAGCAATGTCTTCGAATAGAAAAGCAAAAGAAGTAATCATCATTGAAAATAGAAAAAAAGAAGAAACGTCCATTGATGCATTCAGAACATTTTTTTCCTCTTGTAAATTCCACGAGAAACGCATTAGATGAGTTGCTTTTTCTTTTTACCTATCCACATAATGATTTCCAACAGAGAAAAAAAAGTAACATTAATCAAATTAAGTGGCTTTTTATGCGTCAAAAATAACTTTCTCTTACTCAATCAAGTAATTATCACAGTAAATGCTTACGAAACGAAATTATTTCTTGTCTGATTTTCTCCTGCCTTAGAATTCATGTGAAATTCTTAAACGAAATAGGACTTCAAACAAATTGATATCCTAGCCATGCAATATCAATATTTAAATTAAATAAATTTTTTCTTTAAACAAGGAAAATATTTAATAAATGATTTTGTTCATGTCATCAAAATATGATGATTTTTCATTTTATCTGTAATATGGTTCTGTAATAAATCGAACTATTTTCTGGATATCGATTAAAGGTATACTTTTTCGATGTGAATATTTTTTGATGATACAGGTAGAAAGAGCAACCGTTTTTATTGGTGGATGCCAATTATTATTTTCTCGAAAAAAAATTAAAGTGAAGAACTGTGTATTTGATGTACGGTAAAAAATACGACGATTTATAACATTTTTATGTTTGCAGTTTGATAATTTTCAATGCTACAACACAACACCGTCTATTTTGTTCTCATTCGTCATTTCAATTTTCAAAACGCATGAAGCTCGATATATGATTAAGGCGTACACATCATCTGTTTTTCTTATGAAAACGTCAGTAATTTATGAGATATGAGTATTTTTGTGTGAATCGAACAATGTTTTCTAATAAATTTTTAAGAAATATTTCATTTAGAATTGTTAAATGTTTTCAGTACTCTGCTTTGCATGTAATTTAAATTTTCAGCGAAACGACCACTAACAATTATTTTATGTCTGTATTTGTTGAGTTGAGATCAACAAAAAAAGATAGCGTTACACTGTACTGTTTCAATCACAACGAGTTAAATTGCTTTGACGACGTCAATGTGAGCTATTGAAAGAATAATGTTCTATAAAGTACTTCAGCAAACATCTGCCAAACTTTGGCCTTTCATAAAAACGATAGACATCAATGACGGATACCCTTTGAAATTGCCTGACATAGTTCGATGGACTTGATTTTGATATTAAGTAGATGGAGTTGTCGATCATATGTACACGCAGAGCGACGATTGGAGAATCATTGTGATGCAATAAAAAACGCCATCGTCAACATGACACCGTCACGTTCGATTAATCATCAAATACAAGAGGAAATGCTTCTTCTTTATTCACTTCTTACTTTGCATGGCTTCGGTACTTCGTCTTCGTATTTTAGCTTTCGGTGCCTCATTAACAGAGGGTTACTATTCCGATGGTCTTTCATTTCATCCATATACTATTCGTCTTTCACAACTTCTTAATTCATCCAATAAAATCGTTGAAGTCGATAATGCAGGCCTAAGCGGTGAAGCAGTTTTAAGTAGTACAATGTTGCCAAGACTAAAGAAATTATTATCATCGACAACAAATAAATATGATTGGGTACTTATTTTAGCTGGTACAAATGATACAATGCGTGATCAAGTGAAAGCAAATTTAGTCTTTGATGGTTATAAATTATTAATTAATGAATGTCATAAACATGGAGCTCGAGTACTCAGCATGACTTTGCCTGAAACTACCTGTCCAAGAGAATCACCATTTGACAAAGAACGACAAGAATTTAATCGAATCATTCGAGAAGAACTCGCACCCAAAGCTAATGATAATGACAATATAGTAGTTCTTGATGTTGACCGACTTGTACCACTACATTCACTTTCTAATCACGAACGTGAACTGACTTGGGATGATGAATTACATTTAACACCGAAAGGTTACGATCAATTAGGACAATTAATTTACGAAACACTTAATCCTCACTTATTATAAGTTAATCTTCTGCTTGAATTTTAAAATGAAATGTAACGCCTGTGATACTAAAGAAATTGTTAAATTCAATTAAAAAGAAACAGGATAAACAGAAACCTAAAGAAATCGTCTGATTCTCTACTTATTTCTTTTCTACTGTTTTTTTTATAATCCAAAAAACAATTGAGCATAGTTTTATTTGCATTAAACTCGCGTTTCTTTTAAAAAGTTAATTATTCAGGTTGTATTTGTTACTCCAAACGAAATTTCTCGATGTCTAAACATTCAGTGCCTGCCCATAAAATTCAAGCGAGGCAAATAAGCATGCATACAAAACATGATTCAGAAAGTCATGAACATAGCTACATAACGGTTAGTGACTTGATTACATCAAAGAAAACTTATTAAACTGTACCAAATAGATTCTATATTGTAGCCTAGATTCCAACGAATAAGCAGTAGGTTTGATACAGTGTCATCAGATGGTATGAATGCACCAAAAAGAAACGTTGAACCATCACAGATAACTTTTGAAGTAGCATCAGGACCTGACTTATCGAAAAGGTACTTATATATATATATATATAGAGCAGGAAACTCTTTTTATTAAGATTAAATTTTGTTCATACTTAATTTTAGATCATTTTCTTTCAGTCAAAGAGATGTCATTCTTATTACTTTGGGTGTTTTACTTGCTCTTGGCGCTTCAATTACTGCAATCGCTCTTGCTATTAAATATCGAACATAACTTAGTAACTATTGAATATAAGTCGATTATAATAAATTTTTAAAATGAAGAATAAATTATACATATACGCTTCAAGCCTTATGAATATTTTACGTGTATGGTAAAGCTTGCTCTTATATACAATTTTGTTTTGGGGAAAACTTTGAACAAAATGTTATAACTCAGATGGAGGTTCATCTCATCTAATTGTTTGAGTCGAATTATAGTGTGGGGATTGACACTCGATCCGTATTATTGCTTTAGTCTATAAAGCACTTCGGCATTATATTTCTAAAAAATGAAGTTACCTGACGATGAAAAATTGTATGCAATTGGAAAAAAGTCTTTTTTTCACGCGTAAACAAAGCTTCACTTGCGTGGATTTGCTGGAGGTAATATGCCGAAACTAAAAATAATTTCAAATATTTGTCAGTCATCTCAAACAAATCGAGCAACGAAATTGAGTTCAATAGTAACGTGACAAAAACTATTTATTGAGTAAGCTACTAAGGTACTTCTACACTTCTATGAACAAAATTTTCAGGACCTTTCAGAGCAATATAAAATGTATTGACGTCACGCAGACATACATAGCTTCTTTATATAAACCTATTGAAAATAAATAAAGCCAAATAATATTTCTAGGTGGCAATAATGTTCTATAGAATCATTCAGTAAATAGAAAAAGTTCATCATCATGATATTCAGACATTTAAAAATTTGATTACAAAAAAATAATATGCTTACTTCTCAACGCTTTCTCTGTATTCATTCACATCAATTTTATTTTTAATAAAATTGTCATAAGATAATTATTTTTCATAAATTGTGCTTACTGTAATACGCGATTTGACTAAAAACAAGCGACAGCATACACACATATCATTCTAATGGAAGGATTTCATTAATATTTTCATCATCGATCATCACATGAGAAAAGAACTGAATAAATAACTTGCTAAAACTCTAGATAGCAAGATCATTTTCTACCATACACAAAATGAAGTGGCTCTACTTATTCTCAGTTTTTATTGTTATTACAATCAGTTGTAATGCTCTGATATGTTCGGACGCTGAAATATCTTTTGTCGTATCATTGAAAAACTTTTCGTTGGATGAATTCATCAGTTTGATAAATCTTCGTGTCTCTACGAATGGTCACAAAAAATGCCTTGTGGATATTCAAGTTAATTATGCACAAAAAATCTTGATTGTTTTATTCGGCAGTGGCATCAGTTCAAGTAGTCTTACTACGAATAGACAAATTTATATGGACACGTATCTAGCATTGGCTCAAGATGACATATATATAAAATCGCATAATGTTATAATAAATCATGTTCAATTTGCATGCAATACAAATGATTGTAACCATCAATTTTTGCTTCGACATCTCGAATGGTTAGTGAAAATGGAATACAACGATTTAGTATCAAACATAAGTCCGTTACTAATTAAAAAAAATGAAATAATAGGTAAGAAAATCATCATTGATTGAGCTTCACAATGAAATGAATGCTTGTTAGATAGAAGACTTTTAACTTTTAGCAAATACGGTTTATCAACAGGGGGGGGGGAGCCCCCCCCCAAACTTTGGAAATTTTTGTTTCAATTTTACTCTGATTTGAAGAAAATAGAAGAGATTTTTATTGATTTATTCCGATTTTGAAAAAAACCTCCCGTTTTCAAGTAACCTCCCCCTATATTTTTATTACTTCGCGCCGTCCCTGTTTGTCAAGATCTTTCTCAAACTTTCGTTTCATAGTAACTTTTGATTGTCGTTGAAGTCTTCAAAATATATAATATACCAAACTTTCTTGATCTATAGATAGATGCGTATCGGGTAAACAAAATAAAATTCAATCGTGTCCAAATGGCCTATGTTATTTGGAATATTCAATGTCAACTGATAAAACAAAATACGATTGTGAGAGTGGCTCAGATATGCAGCCTGCGCTTCATCTTGTTACTTATTTTACAGCTCAAGATTATAAATATCAAGAACGAATGGCAAAAGTTAATTTTACAATCAGCTATTGGTGTCGATCAGATGGATGTAATGATGAAGCTATGGCAAAACAAGTGATAAGAGTTGTGGAAGAAAATTATAATTTATTTGAAATGCAAGATATGCTTCATACCGCCAACATTGAATACTGGATCGAAGAAGAATCAAAACTAGATAAATAATCTTTTAAAAAACAAAAACACACTATCACTATATGCATGCCTATTGGAAAATGACTACAGCCATGAAAAAAATCAAGCGCTGTTTTAATTTCGATTTTAAAAAAAAGTTAGATTTTGTCTCTATTTGAAAGACATTCATGTTCTTTGTATAAATCACAGCTAACGAACCGCTTTGAAAATTAGAAAAAGAAAGAATTATCACATTGAAAATTTCTCTGATAAAACGAGAGCTCGGTCATATTTCTAGTGTTTATATAAAACTCTTTCGGGTGCTGAAACAGATTATTTTTCCCTCTAATATCTTGAGGATGGTAGTGTGATTGTATTTCTCTCTTTCACACCTATACCCTCAAGAATCTTTCTTGTAAAGAAGATAATAATGGGGAAAAGCAATAGCAGAGACCATCGCAAAATAAAATTGCTTAACTGCATCAGGTCGTAATCGGCACCTGTGCGAGAGAAGGAAGAGAAATCGGAAGTTAATACGGCGTCAGGAATACTGAGAAACATTCAGTAGGATCCACTTTTCCCCTTACATATGGATCTGGCATAAGAAGGAGACTCGCCCACAAACTTGGATTCTCAAAGAGTGTGGATGTGGCTGTATCTGAATATGATACTCACAATCTATAGAAATAAAGCATGGCATAAAGAGAAAAAACATTAGGCATCTAAAAAAAGTGGTGGTATGCAAGAATAAGATGTTAGGGATATTAATGTATTAGCCATATAATTAATCAGCAGTACTAGATTAAGTATGTCGAATGGACTCCTTTTATCAGGGTAGTATGTAAAGTTCAAGATTAAATCCTATTTTACTAGAACTCTAAAAGGTTCAATATGACAAGATTATTTTAGAGAGTAGCTAATGAAGTAGGAGCTAATTCAATAATCCGTATTGGTGCTTCCATTGCTGTAGCACGAGTTTCTCTTCTGCACCATAGAGCTATTCGGACATTGCGTCGGTAAACACGAAATGCGATCATATATGTGTAGAAATATCCAACATGTGATGTAAAACTAACAAGATTAAATACAGTAGACCAGAGATTTTCTTGTGCTATTCTTAATTGTGATTTCACAAGCGACTGAGTAGTTAACGTATAGATGTTCAAAATAACAATGGACAGCGTAGTCAAGAATATCATTCCGAATTCAGCAAGCATCATTCGATTAAATTCCCCTTGAAGACGGTTGCGTTGCTCGTGCCACAGGGACTGAAGATTGTGCCAAGTGAGCATACTGAATACCACAAGGATAAGCAAAAGCAAAATACTAGTGATAATCAAATCGAAATATATAATAAATTGTCTGAATGCAAATGGAGAAGTCGGTGCTCTACATAAGGGTGCCGAATAGTAAACTGTATCGAGAATGATAGCGCCCGAATAGAGAACGATGAATATGAACACTATGAGACGAACTCGTTTTAGGATGACCATACGTCGAAGATACGCGTTTCGTGAGATGATGAGAAAACGATCGATATTTACCCAACAGATACACGCCAATGAGACGTTTGAGCTCATACGCCTAAAATATCACCAGACTTTGCAATAAAATACTGAGGTAACTAGTGGATCAACACCAGTAATATTGAGCATGGAGCGAAAAAAACGGACCGTCTATAATTGTACTAAACTTGAGATACTAGAGGTGAGCAGAAAGGTAGAAGTCGTTACTTGGCGGAATGCTTTTATACGAATAAATTACCAACTGTGCCTATAATAATGAAAGTTAGCGCCACATAGCCATAGAGGATACCAGAAAGCGATTGAAGAAGAAGAAACGTATCGTTGTCTGTGGTAGCCGGCATTGTAGCTGTAAGTTTGAGCGAGAGTGAGAGTGTAGTTCTATCAAAAGAAATGAGACGTCATTAGTTGAACAACGATTTTGTTTCTTCATTATCATAATAAGATTAGACATACACTGTAAAAAAATTCGTAGAATACTAAACCCTTAAGGATTGATGCAAGTGCAGCTTATAATAAACCCTTTTTCCGTTTTTGAAAATTTTCATAAACCCTTAAAGGGTTTATGATTATGTGGAAAATACCCTTTAGGGTTTATGAAAATTTTCAAAAACGGAAAAAGGGTTTATTATACGTTGCGCTTTCATCAACCCTTAAGGGTTTAGTATTCTACGAATTTTTTTTTACAGTGTATGCGTTATTCTAAGCCACAACTGTGACGAACATAGAGAGTGTCGCCTATGCCCGTCGGCATGATGGTGTATTGTGCCATCTGCACATCTTTAGTCGTGCATTTCCTTTAGTTACATTCCCTTATATACGCGAGAGCGATCACACTTGGGCGGATATAGACAAAGAGGGAAGGGTTACGCAATAGAACAATGAGAGTTCATCAGGTCAATGCACAGACATAGGATACAGCGAAGAGGATAAAGTCCATAAAGTGACCCGTAACGGTAAATACCGTTACAACAACGATTGTCTCAAGTTTTTTCAATTTCCTTAAGACGTTATTATCGTTAACAACAGTTTCTTATTAGACATACACGCTGTGTACAATGCTTCAGTTACAGAAATTATATGTTTAGATTAAGCGAGAATGATACAGCGCATCACATTGTATGTTTTTCCAAGACATGATTCATTTTTCTTTTTTTTAGAGCGGTGTCCAATGACTGTGGAATAGGTATTCCTCCCCGATTCGTTCACAGTTCCAACGAATACTAAAATTTAAAAAAATACAATATTCACGATAGTTTTTACTGGTATATTCATTTTCATCGAGAAATTTGTGTACATGAATGCTATGGTACAAGAAGTATTTCAGGCAAGGCATTATTTTGACTTTCATGAATTGGGAAGCTATGAGAGAATTGATAGCCAATTCTCATTTCCCAGAGGAATTATCATGGCGCTGCTGGTAATTTCTCGTCAATTCAGGAATCACCATTTCTCAGTTCTTGGACACTACTAAATCCAGTAGATGCAACCGACACTTCTAATATTTGTATCGGTAATAATCGAAACGATTCTGATACAGACTCATATATCGCTATTGTGAATAAAAAGAAGAAGTCATCTACATCGTCAGTTTGCAGTAAGTGTCTTAATGATTTTATGAATAATTATAAATTCTTGTGAAACAATTAAACTGATAATTAACGGTTATTACTGTAAATATGTTGTTTCCCCCTATCTAAGTCATAGAAATCACAATCACACCTTCACAAAATACATTTAGATGCAGCATATTACCATCTATTAAATCAAGCACCATTGAAAGGTCACAGAACAATTTCAGTAACAATTAATGCAATGAAAAGAGTACAATGAAAAACTGTCGCACTATAATAGAATAAAACGTACTCAAAACCAATTGGTATTGGTCGATGAGTACCCGGTAGAGGGATTTCAAGTTTGGAATATTGACAGAATCCAACTACTACAATGTTCCAGATTAATATCATTATGAAGAAAACTGAAAATATCGTTCCAAAACTCAAAACTATGATAGTTGTAGATATAAATGTAAAGTAATAAACAGCACTTAATGATTGTAGAAAAAATATCAAATATATGATATTATTAGTTCGAACTTGAAATATCAATGTATAATAACGAGAAATACGAACTAATGCATTAGCCACTGCACGTGTACGAAATTCCAACAAATCCATTGATAAATCCATTAAAATTACTCCTGATAACATGATGGTAGACATGGATAGTATATGAATAAAAACATTATTCATCATCGACTGATTCTCAGGATTCAGTACTTGTGTATCCAAGTAATGAAGTACAAGTGAGGAGAAGCAAATTACTTTATCGAGTGAACTTTTTACTTTGTATATTGTTGGAGTATTCAAGTAAAGCAGGAGCCACCATGCAATGCTACCAATGATAGTAAATGGCAATGTAGTGACTTTCATGAGACAGTTGCCCAGTAACATCATACTAACTAGTTGAAAAGGTATAGTCATTCGACGATAAATTGTACTGATTATTTCTGTTGTCCATTCTGGTTCGGATATTAGAATGTTCTTTGATTTTTGGAAATTTCCATATAAGCACCATCGAACAAGATGCCACGCACATAGATGTAATAGGCTAAATCGAATCATTTTCTTATTCAATATTGTCAAGAGGAAAAGGTAGAGCGATGACCAAAAATGACTATAAGAAGCTTGAATTGTTTATTTTGATGATGATTGAAAGATGAAACACGTGTTAGATAATCGGTGGCTCATGAGAGCTTCATCTAAAATTTCATACATAGATTATAATGGTAGTATCAGAGCTGAAAAATAATGGATATAATGGCTTCTTAATCGTCTACATATTATTTTAATGCACTTAAAATATCAATTTCGTTGTGATAGTGAAGGTAATTTTATCAATACAGTAAAAAATGCTCCAGATTTATACATTTTTCAGAAAAAATCCTCGGAGGATTAAAATGCGAAACACGATAGTGTCGCTTTTAAAAGCACAACGAAAATAAATCTCATCGTTGCCCATGGAAAAAAATTCAAAAAAAGAACGGATAAGAACGCGTTGTCGAGATAAAAGGCTGCGTTGTGAAGACGTTTTTTTCCGACCTTTTCAGACGCGTTTGTGTAATGAAAAGCGCGTTCTTTTAAATAAAAGGAACGCGTTCTGATCGTTCCATAGGAACACGTTTTTCGCGGTAAGAACGTGTTCTTATTTAGAAGAAAAAAATCATTTATTTATTTTATTTTTAACTCTGTCATGCTCTCGAACACGTTCCTTTGCTATTCGTATAAATTCTCAAACTGCTGGTTCCTCTATTCGAATACTTACGTTCGCACTGAACGCGTTCCAATTCGTTTTGGATTTTACTACCGTAGAGCGGATTCGACCAGATAAACTTACAGTTTCAAAGTAGTGAATATCCGAATGAACAATACTTCCGTATGTTTGAAGAGCTAAATTTTCTATTTGTATTAAACAAAATTTATTCTGACGACGAAATTTATACTTAAGACTGATCCATTTACGTTTACGAAAAATTAAATAAATTCAAAAATAAATTTAAAGAACTTTAATTTCTTTTAAAATAAAATATTGGAAATTTAACGTTTTAATATTTTTTGACATTCAATAAAATTTTTATAATATAGCTTACATTAATAAAAATTCAATACAAAGCTGTTCAAATTCAATTAAAATTCATGTAATTAGACTTAAATATTTCTCAGGCGATCTAAACTCATTTACTGTGATTTTTATCGAATTCAAGTTTAATTAAATTGGTTTAAATTGAATTTACATAGTACGATCGATTTGAGTAAATCGAATTGTTTTTCTATTTTAAAAAGTTAAATTCATTATAAATTTAAATCGACAAAAGCTAAATTTAATAGAAATTAATTAGAAATCGATGGGCAATTCTGATTTTTATTATGAGCAAAAATAATTGATGCGTTCGATGGCAAAAAAAATGTAATAAATACATTTGAGGCATACACTAGTATAACTTTTGCAAAATTTCTGTTTAATATTTAAAATCAATTGAAACCTTCCCGATTACTACTTTTTAAATAAAAGAAAGAATATACGATTTGAGAATGTACATTAAAAAAGCAAGAGATTAGCGAATTTGTTTGATAAAAAAAAACTAGTTTAGGAAAAAGGAAAATCATTTACTACGAAACTCTAGATAGATGATCACTTTGCTTAAGAAGACACTACCTTTCAGTGCATTGCAACAGAAAGAAATTTTTTCATGTTGACACATATTTCTTAATTGGCATAGCACTTTCGTTACATCTATTTCGATATACATATTTCAAATAATGAATTCCATTAAGTTAAAATGAGTCATTTTCACTACATAAAAGAACGCGTTCTGAAAGTTGTCGAAAAAGTTCTTCAGTATACGTTTTCAAGTGTTTTTGGAGAAACTGGTTTTCTAACTATAGGAACGAATTACTCGCGAACAAGTTCAAACGCATATCAGTTGAAAGCGTTCGGAGGATAAAAGACACCTCTACTATTAACGCGTTCAATGTAATAAAAGCGCGTTGCTTACCAACAAGTATGCGTTCGAACGCGTTCACAATTTTGAGAAACGCGTCTAAACGCATCAATTTGTTCTTTGGAACGTGTTTGTAGTCGATAAAAGACGTTCAATTTTTTCGAAAGCGCGTTCTTTCACTTTCATTATAAGGAATATTTTTCCATGTGTGTGATTTGAAATGGAAGACAAATTGAATTTCCAACATAGTATGTGTCGAATCATGCACTAAAAATGGAAAACAGGAGTTAAATCCCAATCGAAATATTCAATAGTCGAGCATCTGTAAGAGGTAAAAAAAGAGATCTTATGTCTTACATGAATGTTGTATGCCTATCAGTCAATATGATGTATTTATATGATGCTGCATAAGAAAATGACAAAAGATAATATAGGCAAAATGAAACGATTACAGGTACCTTTTACTACAAATATTTAAAAAAATACTTTTACATTCTTCAGGCGCCTATATTATAACTATAAAGACGCACGCACATTATGAATAATATAACAAATATTTAATGACGCACATTATTTGATTCCAGATACATATAAAGGTCAGAAATTCGGCAACAATTGTAATCGAAATACCAGAGTATCTGCTCTGTTTAAGTCAATGATATTATTTCATAAGTTGTATACATATCTGTGAAAATGGATTAGAGTATGATTGCCATATGGTTCTTCGCTGCATCTATTCAACCTGTCACATTGACGCCAGTAAATTCACACTCGAAACGATTGAAACTTAAATTATCATCTTATTCTAATGATTAGTTTTCAAATGATCTGTCATTCATCGTATTTTGAGAAGAATCACTGAGTCATAGCCACCAGAGAAAAATATCAAGTGAAACGTTTCTCGTTATTAACATCGATAATTCTCAGGATACTCGATACGCATTATTTATAAATAAATCCGTTGATGAATACAGATCTACCGGTCCGGTTACTGGCTCCCAAAGCCGAGGTAAAGCGATATTTCTTTGATGTTAAGCGGGCACCATTTGATTTATGATTTCATTAATACCTACAGTTAAATTTAATAGTTGTTCTTTTAGCCAGTATAATTTTTATTTCAATCAAAAATAAAAATAAAAATAGAGATTATAGTGCTTTGATGGACACGCATTTGTTTTCAACGATTCACCGGTGAAATGTATAACGAGACGCACTATCAATTAAAACCGATGACTTATCCCTAAAATTTGTTCAATTTTTCTAACATGGGTAATTAGAAATATCAATGAATCGTTTCACTCTTAGTCGAGCTAAAGAAAGCTATTTCTAATACTGTTTCATCAGAATTCAGGAATATTTGAGGGTGTTTAAGAGAAAAAAACGAATATTTTACATTGTTTTAAACACGCTATATTAGCTATTTTTCTGCTTAACATAGAGTCAAATAGATATATACGATTTAAATTCGATAGTTGATGTTATATGACCACAGCTTTCAGATAGTTTCAGTGCTTCTCAAACTTGATTTCTACCATAACAATGATTCTTGAATAATCCAGGAGACCTTTCAACATTAAACTTTGATTAAGCATCATTCTTATATACATTCCATTATTGATATTTATTTGGCAACATAATAAAGTGAAAAAGAGAGGTGATTAGGAGCTCACGAGCTTTGGATATTTAATTGTCTTTCCTATGAATAAAATTACGTCGCTAGTTAGAGCAGTAACAACTTGAAAGTTGAAAATAGTAGGCAGTTATCAAAATATACATTTTAACTGGTGTATACCTAGAAATAATTAGGAAGCAGAAGAAAAAACAAGAACGACCTAATGTTTTGGCTGAAAATATCGAGGATGAATATCATGTGGTGAATTAGGAGATGTAGAATTCATTTATTAAATATTGTTTGCAGCAGTAGAATAATAGGATAACAACCAACAAGTACAAATATATTTTCATTATCTTGGAGCATTTTTTCTTTTATGTTGTTTTCATTGGGGTATATGCTTATCATAGGAAAATAAGAGTGCTATTCACTATCTTATTACGACATGTGCATTATATTTCATTTTCTTCACATTTTTGACGTCAACAAAAACACTAATATCATCACAAGAGAAACCAGTTTATAGAATTTCCAGGTCAAAATGGCATTTTTCGACCATACCCTGTAAACATCTACGATAAATATTTTCACCATTGAAAAAAATTGATTTCAAGTTTAAAAAAGGGATATTATTATACCAGGGTAGAACACTGCAGGTGGTGCAAGTCATCCTGGGAGTGGTTATTATTATGGCCTCATCTTCGATACAAAATGGAATTAAGATTCAGGAGTTGTGTTTAACCACCAGTTTTCTATAGTACAGATCCAGGATGGTCTCTTTTCTATCATGATATATCTCTCTAGGAAAACTTCAACAAAATTCAAGAAGATAACCCTGAGAATTTCTTTCGGATGCAAGAGAATACAAAAATTGAAAGGCAGACACGGGACGTTACATCTTCAATGAATCTAGTTTATTGTCTGTATGTTCTCATGTGTATGTTTTTCTTCTTTCTTTCCTTTTTTCTTGCTCTTTTATTTTTGTTCTTTGTGCAATTTAACTTTTCATTATTTTTGTCAGAATAGTAACTGTCTTTTTTGGAAAGTTTATTGAACGCAGCGTATTTATTTATTGATAGCATATCGTATATTTTAACTATACTGAAAATATAATAAAATTACGAAGAGCTATCACTCATCTTCAGCTTAGTACCTGTTGTCAGCCCGATCCTTGCGTTTACAAATAAAATATATACAAAAACGTTTTAGTAGAAAAATGTCAATAAGTCCTAAAAAAAGCACCCACGAAGCTACTGTTTTAAAGTACTTCGAGAATTATTTGGATTAGAATATACCGAAATCATTTTAGATTTAGTTATTTTCAGTTTAGAATTCTCAAACGATGCTTAATGATATCGGTACCAGTAGCAATTTGTTAATAAATTAAATAATTTAAGAGAGAATTTCAATTTCTATATGAGACGTTGCTCATACAAGGAGCCTTTTGTAATAGTAGGACTTCGTGATATTGTATGTTTTATTATAGAAGCAAGAGTTCATCTGATAATAGTTCAAAATAAGACGAACGAATTCACTTTGAAAGGAATGCAGAGGGTAACTTCGTCGATGAGTTTCGTGTTATTCATTGAAATAATAATATACTATTTAGGGCTCTGCATTACAAATAAGCACAAAAAATGAAAAACTAAGACCAAAACCATTATTTTATTTGTCTCTGATATAGGTGAGTAACAAACGATGCAGGTATAGGTTTCATTATTCAATTCCTGGTCATGCATTAAAAGACGTACGATGGGTTCGACGCATGTCCAAAATTAAAAGGAGATTTGTAAATGCTTCATTTATTCAGCTAATTTAGAAGAGTAACGTATATTAGACATATATTTATCTTAGTTTCATAATTTTCCGAGTAACATTTAATATTAAGCTATTGAAAATAGCAAGCAAGAGTTCTAAGAAAGATGATGTTAACTGCAACAAATTCAGAATGAATATTGCATTATGAATCTTCTTAGCATTGAAAAGACAAATGTCATCGAAGAAACATAGTTCAAAATTAGTTTAGATGTTCAACTACTATTTAACGTAAGTACTCATGTTCCAATCTTCTCCTCAGCATTGTTTCAATAGGTTTCTATGACTCGAGAATGAGATATCTATATGAAAAAATGCTTGCTGATTTTGATCATATCGGGTAGAGTTATTTGACCAGTCGAAAAATGCATGTTTTGCTAGCCCATCACTGACCCCTCGTTATATCGTAAAATAGTAAGCCATATGGTACGTTCAAAATTTGCATTTAATCGTTTATTTATTTTATTGTTTTGCTCATCGGGAGTAGGCATGCACCGAAACCGGGTACAAACCGGATAGTTCGGGTCAGTACTACCCGGATTCGGTACTGGGATTCGCGGGCCTACTTATTCGTATCCTTCGAAGCATAGAAATGAATAATAAATAGCACCTATGGATGTATAATAGGTGGTAAAAGATGAGTTCATGTCAAAGATCATTTGCCTTGCTCAGCCTATCATAGTTAATCTCATTTATCAGAACGGATACAGTTAAATGAGCTTCTCTTAATATTCATCTTGGACTCAACTACAAGAAATCGTCGAATGGTTCTCCTTATTAAATTTTCCGGAAATACAGATGTAAGATTTTTTCCATCGGCCTAGTAAAAATATCAATACTAATAATGCTGATATCAATATCACCAATACTAAATTGTATTAATATTGGTAGTATTCGAATTCTCACATCCCTACTTAGACTATCAGAAGGATCATTTCAATAAGGAGAACCTTTCGACGATTTCCTGTAGCTGAGTTCATGAGAAATATTAATAAAAACTCATTTAATTGTATGCTTTCCTGATAAATAAGATTATCTGTGATAGATTGAGGAAGAGACGATAAATCTTTGAAATAAAATCATTTATTATTATCTATCTATAGGTACTATTTATTATTCATTTCTATACTGCGAAGGATACGAGAAGTAGGCACAGAAATCCCGTTATCCAATCTGGTTATGACCGAACCCGGGTAGTACCGAATCTGGATAGTATCAAACCCGGGTAGTTCGGGTTCGGTGCAAGTCTAGTAATGCCAATCTCGTAAAATGAAGTCAATATTTTCTTTATTTAGGTATGCAGCAATAATCAATTGAAATGCAAGTTTAATAAGATAAAATAAATTAATATTTTTTATCTATTTAGGTATACGTGAATAATTGATTTCCTGGTAAGTTGAATGTTAAAATATAAGGCATTCTTCTCTTTTTTTGTTTACGATCGTCTTAGCAACAAGTAACGGCGATGCCCGTTTCGTGTGAATAAAGGAAAAATTGCTGGCTCGTATTCTGTTTATAACAAATCCAGGTAAAATATAACGCATACAATTTAGTGTTTCAGCATAAAAACTAAGGTTAAGAATAGAATTAAGGGTTAATGCTAGAAATAGTGTTTAGGATAGAAATAAAGGGGCTAAACCTGAAATTAACGGCTGGATATAGCAGTAGTGGCGAATGCTAGACTAATTGAGTGTCGTGGACTACACTTTACCACTCTAGAACCATTTCTTTTGGAAGAAAAAGTAAAAGGTTCCAGCTAGAACCAGATTTTGTTTGAACCTTAAACGGTTCTGAAAATGGTACTCAAATCTAGAACCTTAAACGGTTCAGTATGATATCTTTTTTTCTTTTTCAGTAACATTGATTATTCTCGAGATATACGTTTCTTAATTTAAAATAAATATCTGTGCCCTTGAGTTTTGTATGTGTATACAAATTGATAAATCTAGTAATACTGTAAAGCTTTGAAATTTATCACCAGTTAATGAATCTATTCAATATAGATTAATAAATTAAAAATCTGTGGATGCAGACCCGTAGGAGGGAACACTGCCAATAACAGCCACACCTTAGACAGAGCACTAGATAGTGGATTGCTTTTGTGGTTATTTTACGAATCATAGTATTTTATGTCCAGGAGAGTCGAAATTCTGACCCCTTCAAACCTTTTAAGTCAAAACAAAAAGTGTTCTCCGCATATGAAGTCACTTGTTTTCGACCACTAAGGTTGTGAGAAAATAGAGAGCATAGTTTTGATTCATTGAAGTTTCGATGAAAACATTTTTTTAAGTGAAAGAGAATTAAGAATTCTAAGATAATTGATTGAACACAAGAATTAACTTTAAGCTATCTGCTTAGTCTTATTCAAGTAAGTGAAGACTTCTTTTTTTTTCTTCTTTTAAGGTTAATCTTAATGCTGTTGGATGGTGATAGAGAAAATTTTCAAAACGCATATTGAAGTGCAGTATAACGTCAAAAAGTCAACTTAAAAATAAGAATGTACAATGTGACTCGCTATTCGTAGTCCAGTATTATTATTTTTTCATCGATGAATATTGAATTTTTTTTCTGTCAACCATGAACCCTTGTGCATTTCTACAACAACAAAAAATGGAGTGAATGAAGCAAACAATCAAAAATGTAAAATTCCTCAAAAAGAAATTTCGAGCGAAGTTTCCGTTCATCTTCAATTGTTTGTTTTTAATATAATAAGAGCGAAAACTAGTAAGGCACGTGCTTTATGGTGTATCGAAATCGAACTAAAATATCGTTTATTTTCATACCATTCTCAATCGACTGTTTAGTCTTTTCTTGCTTAAATTCTTCTGAAAATCATACAAGTAAAATCATACTACGTATTAACAGAAGGTTCTGGTATAGTCATACGTTCAGCCTCCATTCTCAAATAGGGCCCCTTGTAGGTAAATAGTGCCGATGCACTAACAAAAAATATAATAACAATGAATATGGAAGCAGGCGTAAATATATGATTCAATGTATAAACTGGTGCCAGTTTGATAAGATAACCATGAGTAAAGATAAAAATCGCGCCTAATACATTACCAGCACATAAGAGTAAACCAGTGGACCATTCAGCACGTACTGGATAAGTACATTCGACAGCACACTCAAAAGAAACGGGCAATAGTGGCAGTAAGAATAAACCCATGAGGCTGACTGAAACAGCAAGTGGATAAAACATATGAGGTCGAAGAACGACAATGAAAAAGACTGCCGAGCCACATACACCCACGAGTAACACCTTGAGCATCAATAGATAGGCATGTGTTCGATCCATTATCACACCTGATACACAGGAACTGAAAATACCTGCCACAATCAATGTGGCGCCAAATATACCTGCATCTTCGCTCGAGTATCCACTCGGTTGAATTAGTTGATAGAGTACAGTGGTAATGGAATTGGCCATAGCCAGCCCGAGAGCAAAGCCAAAGAGAAGAATAACATAGTGACGATTGGTGAGCAAACGTATGAGGTCTTCCTTGATATTGATGGATTGGTGATGCTCTTCTGAAGGTGACGGTGGCGATGGAGGTTCCGATCTAATAACGAGAATAAGTAAGAGTGTCGTCAATGTAGTGAAAGCAGCTTCAATCGTTAGAAGAATAAAAAATTGACGCGACGATGAGCCATCAGTGACAACAAGCGATGGTAGAAGAGAACCAACAGCAGCACCCAATGGATTGGCCATAGAGCATAAAGCCGTTGCCATATCACGCTGTTGCGGTGCAAACCATCTAGTAGCGAATTGTGCGGTCAAGTTCAAGAAGAAAGGTCCTGCTATAGACGGAAAAAATTGACCGATTAAAAGAGCTGCGTATCCACGACTGGGTGAGATGAGTGCGAGTAAACGAATCCATACGCCTGCGTTTAAGAGAGCTCCAATGATCATTCCAGTTCGCATGGAAAACATCTGATATACCATTATTGCCAGAGCCGAGCCCAATACATAAAGAAAGAGAAAAATAATGGCCAAACTATTGACTTGTACCGATGTAATATGAAAGAAGGTGGCTGTTTCTGATTCAATAGGAGCAAATGTCATGCTATGAAATGAATAGGAAAAAGTCACCAGTATGTAGACAAGCAATTGAAGCCATCGAATACGATAGACGCGATAATTTGTTAACTCAGTCGTAGCCATAATTGTCGGCCTCACGGGCGTCTCCTGTTCCATCATATAGCTAGTGTGGTTGGTGTGAGGGATCTATCAGTGAAATATTTTGTGTTCGTGTTATCTTGGTCACGAATCTTATCTTTTCTTACTTTGTTTTGTTGTTGAGAAAAAAAGAAAGAAAAAACAAGCAAAGCTATTGGTCTTTATTGATTAATCAAATCAATCTCAAAGTATTTCATTGTAGTATAAAGCTAAAGATTATATCGTAAGAAATCTGAGAAATACATGAGTAAAAGCTAAAGTACAACAATGTCTTGCTACTACCGATCCATTTTTTGATTTTATTTAATAAACAAATACAAGTTGACTAAATTTAAGATTAACCAAATGAATGACTCACACACAATTATGAACAATTGTGTATTAAACCAAATGAAGTTGAATTAGCTCATTTGTATTATTTACCAAACGCTGGACTAAAACATCTTACAATAAAAATATCAACATTTCTTGATAATTTACTCCTGTCTCACTTCGATGAAATAGCATCAAAGTATCTACTGTCACTTTTGGTTTATTGATGTATTCAAACAGTTACAAACATAGTCCAATGATAATATGCACGATTAATGTTTGAGATCTTTATGCAATGATACCACCACTAGAAAGAGTATACTCTTATTAGAGAAAATGTTGAATCAATTAACATTTAAGGGCGTGGGTATAAATTTTGTTTTCATATCGACAGTTGAAGTCACACACACACACAAACTCGCAAGAAGGCGAAATACAGTGAATAGAACGTCAGCAGTTCAATCAGATCTTCATTTATTAGTTTTAGGAATTTATCTCGTAAAGTTTTTGAATTAAGCGTTTCTTTTGTTTTTCTATCGGATTGTCAATCATGCTACGAATTCAAAGTGCATGGCAAATTACCCGTAGCGTGTTGGTGTCCGAATTGAGTGATTCTGTCGCGTCGCAGCGATAGCCACCATAAGTCGCGACTGTGTGCCAGCAAAGTCTATAGGCAGCATCTGTACTTGCTGTGTCAAAACTGCTGCGTGCTGCTATGTCGTTGCCGTTATCAAAGCCCCATCAATAGCTATTGGAGTAGTGCCAACCGACACCATTAGCTACATGTGTGCAATTACTAAATGTGCTGTAATCGTACAGTAAATATGCACGAAGTTCCATTGCAGTTACAGTCAGGATCGTATTGTTTTGCGCGTGACACCCAAGTAATAGCTTATCCTTATTACATATAGTAAGGATTGACGTAAAAACTGCTATATTAACGAGGGAAGATCCACAAGTGTGATTCGCCGATCTAGCTCATCTTTTGCCCACAAGTTGGACCTGTTGAGATTATTATAACCTCAAAAGGGTTCGTCCCCATACGCTGTCCTTCCCGAGTTATGACTGTTTTACCGTATTTTCAACCACTGACAAGAGATTCGTGGGAGAATCGAATGAATGAATTTTGACCTGAAATTTTTCCCATGGGTAGGTCTTCTAGTCATTAGAATGCCCTAAAAAGTTTACCCAAAAAGAATGTTTTCTTCTCGAAATATTGAGTGCCTAAAAACGATCCTATGTGACAAGAAAAGGTAAGAAAACCGAGTTTTTTGGACATTCAATATTTCGAGAAGAAAACATTCTTTTTGGGTAAACT